AATATTTCTTTTATTGGGTAGAAATGTTTAGTTCAAAACCACATGCTACTGTATTATTTTATAAGGAGACAGAATATTTTCTGAAAAAAATCCGAACTGAATAGTAACCACCTTTGACACGGTAAATTTTTTCTGATTATTATCAAAATAAAATCAAAGAAGAAATTGATTTTATTCTGTTTTCTTTGCCCAGAATACCATCTATAGACTCTTCAGAATTATTTCTTGTGTAGATAGGGAAGTAAAAAGTGTACTATATTGATTTAGTAAGCATTAGAATAAAGGAGATTTCACTGTATCTGATTGTACATTTAAGACAGTTGCTTAAACGTATAGTATTGAAAGATATACATTCAAATCAGTCAGTCACGTTCACGTGACCTTCGTCCCTTCAGGATTCTGGAGCTCGTGTTAATCAATGGTTTGGAATCAGAGTTAATCAACTTCTCTAGGTGGATCCTCTGTGCACACGAACCCTGTTAACACTACGAACACTTCATTGTTCTTACTTTCAGTTTGTAAAACAACATTTGCGCGAAGGGAAGTCAGTAAGTAGGACTTGTTCGTATATTCATCAAATGCATACAATTTACGGTAAGGCTGGCGGTAAATCTTATTGCAATTAGATGTACACTACTGTATAATAATTCAGTAGTTTGAAGTTAGACGCTCGCTAATAACTTCGAGGTACCAGAGCTAGAACTCTAATAGAATTGCTGAAAAGCATTTTAATAACAGCTAACTATCTGACCAATATTCCATGTGATATTAGCTGTAGGTGAATACTTCATCAGACAAAACTACAGAAGGCAAGTATCTATTTGAATCAGTACAGTAATTGACCGATGATATGTGTCAAGAATGAGTAGAGTCACAAATACAATTTACTATGTGGTCAATCCTACTACAGTGTAACATTTCTTCCCTTTTACAAAGGTATTCACCAAACTTCACCTAATGTTACCCTTCATTCTAAGAACTTGTGTATTTTTTCTATGTACAACAAAAATCATCATAGTATCAACCAGTAAACTTCAGGTCAGTTGCAACGTAGAACTAAGGACGTTTGTACATAAGTTCAGGTTGCCATACCACATTAGCACAGAGACTCAAATGTCAAATCAAATCCCACAGTGATAGAGATGGTAGAGGTATTAATGGTAATGAAGAAGTATAATTCATTGAGATAAGGTTAGAAAGACAAAGGTAGAAGTGCTGACGATTCCAGAAGATTAGGATTTGTGAGAGCTCAATGAATGGATGCACTTGAGCCATTGCAAACGATTTTGAGCCAAGTCGTTCAAGGTCTCTAACCATCGTCTCGTGGACCAACATGACTCAGTCTACTTGTCAGCGATTTCATGGAATTGTGCCATGTTTTGGTTTGACCGACCCTAACTTTCTTCCAAAATACTCCTAGACCACAAAACGTAGCTCATCGAGGCTGTCGGTGGTTAGCCATACGTAACACATGTCCCAACCACCTCAACTGATGAAGTCTCAATGCTTCATCTATTGATTTGCCATCTATACCGAGTACTCGTTTCCTAACGACAGCATTGCTTACTCGGTTGTCCCAGGATATACGAGCAATGCTTCGAAGACATCTATGATCGAAAACTAGTAACCTGCGAACATCTTCTACTCTTAACGGCTATGTTTCGCATCCATATAGGAGAACGGAGCGAACTGCTTCAGTAAGCTTCATGTCTGAATGCAATTTATGTTGATGGCCCTAATTTTTTCAGATGAATAGTTCCATTGTAAAAAGCATCTATTAACCTTATTGACAATCAAACTTGTAACCATTCGAAGGAGAAGTTGAATCGATCGACGTCCCACTTTACCATTAAATCGATTCACCTAGAATCACGATTAAAACAAAAAAATAATTGAATTCTCCTAACCAACTGAAAGTGTTCGTTCCCTATCAACTAATCACTAGTAGTGACTGATGCTTCAAATTACGTTTCATAATATATATGTTTACAGTTTAAATCATCTGAATCACTTAAAGACAATGGACAAGAATGCTCTGTCCTAGTATGGGACTCGTCGGTGGTGCGCGCCTATCAACCTGTATGTACCCAAGAAATTATTAATTCAGGATATTTTGACTCGTAAGTGAATGTCAACTTTTTAAATCGCCGAACCGGGATTATTATTAGTAACAGTCAATAAATGACATTACAGAAAATTTTATCAAACAATAAGATCATGTTAACTCCATTATTAACTCCTACATAATCTATTTTCAGGTTACTTAATCGATCAAAAAATTTGATTACTTCTCCAGGTGTTCGTCAACATTGTTCACTATTTAGATTCGTATTTTAACTTTGTTATAGACGTACCTTTATAGATAACATTTCGCTCGTCTGATGTTTTAGGAATCGAAATTTTACCGGGAGATTCGCTTATCGACTTTAAAATATGCCCATAACATGGCGCAGGTGCGCATCCACTCTTTGAGTTCGCTCAAATCTTAATCTTTTGAATTCCTCATCACCTTTATCTTCCTATTTTTAAATTTATTTCACTAGATTATATCCTCGAACCCTAATCTTTTCTGATTACTGCTAATACTTCTACTACCTCTGCTACTATGGGATTTGAATTGACAATTACGTCTCTGTGTGCTAATGCGGTATAGCGAGTTCTACTTATATGTTCATTCGAAAGTACGAATTCAATTCAGTTCAAAAGAAGTCGAGAATACACAGTTCCGTTAAATAAATGTATTTTCTTTCGTGCTACAAATTGAAATGCTCACACGAAAGAGCACAATGAATGAATAAAAACGGCGCGAAACAATAGCTATCATGAAATAGCAGTAATTTAAAACAGAAAAAAGAAAAGTTAAAAAAGGCCTTTTACAATCAAAGGCAAAGAACCGAAAAAAAAAATCAGAAACCCAATCCAATCGAATCGAACATGTATGAAAGCACATTGAAAGCTTTCCAACAACAATTATTGCATGAAGCGTGTACATTTATAAAAACAGAAAACAAGTAAACAAGAAAGAAAACTGAGGCCAAACTGGCATCAGTGAATAAATTATTTAATTTTTTTTAATGCGAAAAAAAAAAAGAAAACACCTAAAAGAGTCCAAAACAAATGCCTATCATCACATTTGATGAAAAAATTGAACACAAATTAAAAAAAGGTGATCCATAATGCTGATGATGATGAGGTTCGAAAGAAAAAGAGAAAAGATACTATGATGTGTGTGTGTGTGTGTGTAAGCGTAGCTCTCTACGTGTACAAATAAATAATCAAATACACATGGAGAAAACCAAAAGGAAGCTACACCTACACACAGACAGAGAAGGAGAAGAGAGAAAACACACAACTAATTTAGGAAATAAATGAATGAATTATTCCAGTCGTCTGTCATATCAAAAGAGATTCTTGCCCTGTTCAACTCACTCACTCACTCACTCAAATCGATAGATTTGTCTAGAAATAATTAGAGAGATAAATAACTATATGTGTATACCCTGTGTATTCTTTTGGTATCAGAGATGATAGATAGGTAAATAAGTGGAGTTGGAAAGTAATTCTTCACACCCTCTTTTTTTTAACGTGTTTATCAAAGAAAATCCAGTGTGCTTTTACACCAGCAACAACAAGAAAATAATGAATATTAATGAATAGGAAAATGAAAAGTAAAGTAAAGTAAAGTAATCATATTTAAATAAATATATATCTATATTGTTTTCACTAATAATATTCTATCAAATATCAGAAGAAGAATACATCCAATAGGCAAGAAAAATGCAATGAAATATTTTAAACTACTGAAAACAACACAATTAAGTAGTAAATATTAATAAAAGCATAAATATATTAAAATGAGGAGAACAGCAGCAGTAGTAAGTGAGAACCGGTAGCATAGATAGATAAATCATTGATTTGATTTGATTTAATGTTTCTTGGCCATTTTAACTTTCTAATGACATTCATCAATGACCATGTCAAAATCATCACGTACAATCCACATACCAGGAGGTGTAGTCGCTAATTTATCATCCATATTATTATTATTACTACTATTATCATCATTATAAGTAGTATCATTAGTAATATTTGAAATAGGTTTATCAGGATTTCGTACAACTTCACATTTTGCATAACCATTCATCAATTTTAATGAATTCACGTTATCATTGTCATTAGGTAACTTGTCAAATTGCTCATCCAGTAGAGTTTTGGAATTTTGATCATCTTCATGGTTACTAGTAGTAGTATTATTACTGTTCGATAACGAGTGAGGAGTTGGTTTCACAGCTGATATCGGTTTAACAGCAACTGGTATTTTATTATTATTCAATCCAGTTGTCATCATATTCACAGTAGATGGACTGATTTTTCGTCCTAATTATAAGCAACAACAAAAAACAAACAGAACAATGGCTTTTTTCTTGTTAGAAATAGAAAAAAGACATGACACATGTTTGAAACCGTGAATCGATCAATGTTAGACCGCCACCGTTAGAAACCTGGAAGCACTGAAAAACGGCCGTTGCGTCTTGGTATGGGACTCCTGAGCAGTGGTCCGATGGTTAGGCGTGTTCGCACACAATACCGAAGGTCCTGGGTTCGAATCCTGCGGGGTGCAGGAGTTGTGGATGCGCACTGCTGAGGAGTCTTGTACCAGGACGAAATGGCTGTTCAGTGCTTCCAGGTTTCTGATGTTGGCGGTCTAACATTGATCGATTCATGGTTTCAAAAACTAATAAAATTGACTGAAACCACAAGAATTATTGAACACACATTAAAATGTTCAAGTTTTGAACAGTTTGTATCAAGTCGCATACATTTTTCAGATTGTTTACATGTTTACTAAGGTTTGATCCCTTTCTGATTGACTTATTGAACAGATAGTGTCATTCATGTATAGCGAAAACTTATATGTAACATTGGGATGTAATTAGTGTCGTGTTTCTGTGAGCAATTATGATTGAGCGGTTGCTTAAAGCCACTTAAATAATTTGATGACCCAATGTATTTTTCCGAGTATATATATGTAGATTTTAATCCTACTCACTAGCGCTCTCACTGGCTGGATCGCTTGCTCTTTGGCACTCTCATGTCACTTTGGCTTCGTGAGCCTGTGGTTTTGGCAATCGGTGTGTGTGTAGTGCAATAATAAACGCAAATCAACACTTTGTACTCTCGTCATCTGAATTGTATACAGCATTTGGCGTTATTTAGTAACGGTTGTCAAGAAAAGCAATATACGAAATCTAAGGATTTGTATCGAATACCAACCACAACAACAGAACTGGTGAACACATATCCACCAAAAACGAGTAGTCAATTAGAAATGCTGTTTTACAGATCCTCATTGAGCAGCGATTTATTAAGATAAGATACCAGTGTGAACGAACAACTTCAATGGTTTCATGACATTGCGATACCATCATCTCGCAGTGAGTAACTGTCTCACAACCGACACGGTTAAACTCCAATGGTTACGGCTTCTCACTAAAACTCCAAGAATCGCCTTACAAAACTAGTCACTAGTGAGCATATGATCATTGTCAGCATGAGGTTATGAATTGGCTGGAGTTACACATTCGCACTGTTTGATGTCAACTCAGTGGTCAAGATGTTAACCGTACGCACAAAGGGTGGAAGGTCCAGGGTACAGTCAGTCAGTTAGATGAAACGTAGAACTTCGTACGTAAGTACATCAGTTCATGTTACCATACCACATCAGCACAATTCGAATCCAATAGTAGAAGAGGTAGTAAAGGTATTAGAAGTCATCGGAGAGGTTACGATTAGAAGATATTATTCAAGAAGTATGATTCAATGAGAAAAGTTTAGAAAGTCAAAACTAGAGGTGTTGAAGAATCCAGAAGATGAGGATTTGAGAGAACACAAAGAATAAATGCACCAGTCCAGGGTACGATTAATTCTGACATGGTTGTGGACGGGCACTACTGACAAGTCTCATACTAACACGAAACAGTTGTTCAGTAATTTCAAGTGTTCAATAGTAGTGATCTTACTCACGAACACAGTTCATAACTTCAATGAAACTCAAAAATTTCCACTATCCCTATGAAATGCTAATTATTATTATTATTATTACTGGTATTATTGATACAGATATATTTTTAAAAAAAGAAACATATGGGATTTTGCTTATTCTAATGTCAAAAATTAGTTAACTGTCCATTAATTGTAATGTAGCGGGAAAGAAAGAGAAAAAAAACACACACGATTACTATAGTGTATCATGGTTCTCTGCATAGTTGAACAACAAAACAATACTGTTCAAATATCAATAATATTAGATAAGTGAATATTATTCGAATCTGTCATGATAATGAACAAAACACCATGAATAGAAATTGTAATTTAGGGTGAATGTAATACTTAGAATATTCGTGTGTATATACACTATACTATACTACAATACACTACAATGTATATTGTACCTTGATGTGGTGGTCCGACTAGCCTTTCGTGATGACCCAAATGAACTATATTGGCTGGAACTTATGTTCCTGAAGGTTCTACCATGCAAGGCAGGTCGATTGGAGAACGACCAGACTAAAAGCAGCTACTCAAGGTCCGAGGGCGAAGTCGTACTGCTGACTGACTGCAGAGGGGTGTGACAGCAGTAAGGTGTTTCCCTCGGACAACCAGCATCTGCAGCGATTCTGCCTTCTTTCTCACAAGGAAGGAAGGGTTAGAAAAGGTCGAACCGAAAAATGTCACACCTCACCTTACCTCACGGATAACCGTCTCCGGCGGTAATGGTGCCCACTAAGGGCTTTCAAGAGCGGAGCTAACACTCAAAAAACCCTTCATCAATAGGCCGTGCGTGATCGGCTTCAAGCAGTTGTCCCTTGAGCTCTGCGGTCACGCTCCCAGGTCTCTAAGACCAACACTAATCTACCTTCCTTTTCAGGTCCCTCAAGAAACAACCTTCCACGGTGTGGGCAACCGAGAAAAGACAACCGCCCTCATACCCGTAACAGTACGAGAGACAAAATTGTACTAACATATGTTTTGTGGTGTAGGAATAGGTTGGAAGAAAAAGCTAGGGGTGACCAAAACCAAAACATGGCGCATATCCATGAAGTAACTGACAAGTGGACTGAGTCATGTTGGTAGATGTAGGCTACGTGGTTGAAGTCCGCAAGACGAAAGTCAACCATGGAGAGAGGGACCTTGAACGACGTGGCTCGAAATCGTTTGCAATGGCACAGGTGCATCCACTCTTTGTGTTCTCTCGGATTCTAACCTTCTGAATTTCTCATCATCTCTATCTTTCTCTGTTCAAAGTTACTTCACTGAATTATACTTCTCAAATCATATCTTCGAACCCTAATCTTCTTCATTACTGCTAATACTTCTACTATCGCTACCACTATTGGATTTGAATTGACAGTTACGTCTTTGTGCTGACGTGGTATGGCAACCTGAACTGATGTTTATTGTTAAACTTATGCTTCGGGAATTCATTAGATTTAACTACAGAGGTAATGTATTGGTATAACAACACATTAACTGCGGTAGGGTTAAATCTTAAAACGTTTACAGGACAACACTACTACCCTATGCCGTGCCTGAGAAGATAGTCAACAACACACGGAATTGTTAAGATGGATTAAACTGTACAATTGTGTAAGGAGGACAGCTGTCAGACTCATTCCAAGTGGAGACTGGTGTCAGACATCGTTGCTTACTCTCACCCTTTCTCTTTCTCATGGTGATCGACTGGATTATGAAGACATCAACATGTGGAGGGAAGCGCGAGATACAGTGGACAACGATTTGGACTTCGTAGATGACCTGGCTTTTCTATCGCACAGGCAACAACAAATGCAATAGAAGACGACCAGTGTAACAGCAGCCGTCTCAGCAATAGTAGGTCTCAACATACATAAAGAGAAAAGAAAGATTTTCCAATACAACACAACATGTACAAACCGAATCACTCTTCATGTACACGCCTTGGAGGACGTTAACATCTTTAAATATTTGGGAAGCATCATCGATAATCGAGGTGGATTTGATGCAGATCTGAGGGTGCGGATTGGCAAAGCAAGGGCTGCATTTCTACAATTGAAAAATATCTGGAACTCCAAACAACTATCAACCAACACCTAAGTCACAGTTTTCAATGCAAATGTCAAGACAATTTTACTATATGAGGCGGAAACTTGGAGAACTACGAAAGCCAACATCCAGAAGGTACAAGTATTTATAAACAGTTGTCTTCCGTTGGCCAGACACTGTCAGCAACAACCTACTGCGAAGGAGAACAAACCAGATCCCAGCAGAGGAATAAATCGAAAAGAAGAGCTGGAATTGGCTAGGATACACATTGAAGAAAGCACCCAGTGTCAGCGGAAAAGAGCAAGGCAAACGAACAAATTGCACCGATAAATGAAGACAGACATGAGCAAAATGAACAAAAATTAGACAGAACTGTAAAAGAAGGCTGGAGACAGAGTAGGTTGGAGAATGCTGGTCGACAGCCTATGCATGCATCAACAGACGGTAACAGGAGTAAGTATAATATAAATTGATTACTTTTCATGATACTTTAAAACGAAACAATATTAAGTTAAACACAAACCCATCAAAGATTTTCGTCCACCACGTATAGGTTTAGGAACATTGGATAATTGTGGCGTGTTATGATTATGATTAGTATCGGCACCATCAACTGTTTGAGTATTGATCACTGAATTGCCACAAGCTATTGACGATGCTAACGCCGATGATGATGTCATCGGGGCGCGTTGATGATGCTGATGCTGATGATGATGATTATTCACTCCATGAAATGTGTCCACATCTTTAGACTGTTGTTGTAATTTTACTGTAGTAGTAGCAGTAGTAGTAGTAACAGTAGGACGTTCAATAGAATGACATGCAACACGGCTGTTCGGTGTACTCAATGATCGATTATGTGATGATGAATGTTTAGCATAGAGTAGTAGGCTATTATGATTATTATTTGAAGCTTTATTCGTTTTCATTGGACGTTTCGGTGAATGGTGTTGTTGTTTATTCTGTTTCACTAAAGCTGTATACACTGATTCCATAGATACAGTAGTAGGTTGATGAATATCAGTAGGTTTTGAATTATTATTATGATGATGATTACGTGAAGATTGAACAACAGTATTCATCGATCCATTATTATTTGTCACTGAATGTGTTGATTTTAAATTCGATAGGGAATTCGCACCAGACACTGATCGACTACTACTACTAGAGCAAGTTTGAGAAAGATTTTGTACTGACGGTGGTTCAGTCATTGCAGTACGCTGATGATGATGTAGTCGTTGATGTGGTTGTGATTGTGGGTGTGGTTGCTGGTATTTAATCGTAGGTTTAATGGAATTTTTAGGATAATTGTTTATCGTTGCTGTTGTGGTTGGTGTTGTTACAGGATGGATAACAGGTTTTTTGTATTTATAAATTGTGTTACCATTATTATTAATTGAAGTATTTTTATGATTTGTAAGGTTAGGCTAAAAATTACAAAAAATTGGGAAAGCAGAAAAGTTAAAAATGAATTTTATTAGTGAATGCTATCAAATGCTCTGGTACGCAGTAAGAAGTCAGTCGGTGGTTAGGCATTCATAACACATGTCCCAACCACCTCAACTGATGAAGCTTCAATACTTCATCTATTGATCTGCCATCGTTACCTAGTACTCGTTTCCTAACGACAGCATTGCTTATACGGTTGTCCCACGGTATACGAGCAATTCTTCTTAAACATCTATGATTGAATACTAGTAACCTAAGGACATCATCTACTCTTATAGGCCAGGTTTCGCATCCACATAGGAGAACGGAGCGAACTGCTGCACAGTACACTCGTCGTTTGTCAGCAAACAGATATCTCGCCTACGCCATAAGTGACGCAGGTTGGCAAAAGACAATCGAGCCTTCTGTTTCCGAGCGGAGATTTCGTCAGTCACCAGGCCATCGGCACTGATGAGACTCCCCAGATAAGTGAAGTGATCAACACGCTCGACTACTTCACTCCCTATCATTAGTTCAGGTGCCAATGCAACCCAGTCTTGAAGCAACATTTTGCATTTCGAGGGTGAGGACCGCATCCCGAACATGCTCGCATTGTTGCTTATGGTTGTCAGAAGACTCTGCATTTTGTCAGCGTCTTTACCGAATAGACATATGTCATCGGCATATTCTAGATCAGTAGGCGATTTTCTCGGTAGAAGGTCAACCCCTGAAAATTTTGACGAGCTTAATGTTAACTATAAGAGGATGTCTACGACAAAGTTAAACAAGAATGGAGAGAGTGGACAGCCCTGACGGACACCACTTGAAGTAGAGAATTCCGTTGACAGTTCGCCATAAGCTCTCACTCGACCAGTAGTGTTCGAGTACAGTGCTTGTATAAGGTTAATTGTACTTCTTTGGTACACCTTTCAATGAGAGACAATGCCACAGAACCTCACGATCCACTGAGTCAAATGCCGCTTTTAGGTCCAGGAACACGACTATTGTCGGACGTCTAAATGTGTCTGTATTCCAGGACCTGTCGTAGACGGAGTAAGAAGAGTCCGATCTCTCTCTCTCTCAGGAGATATTCACGTATAAAGCCACTGACACGCAAGTTCTACTCATTCTACCTTATCACCACCGAGATGCTTGTTTACAAAGTTGAGAGGACAAAAAACGAATATCTGGAGATTAAACCGGATTGGTGGATACAGAGGATCGATCCACCTATAGGGGAGTTAGAAAGCTGTGATTCTAAACCAATAGTGAACATACATTTCATATGAATATAAGGCAGTAGGTACCAAGCACTAAAGTGAGGTTTCAAACTTGATAGAATTGTAGCATCTTGAACTACTACAATCTGAGAAGTTAATATTGAGCTTATTCAGGCCGTCACTAACATCCTGTAGGACTGAGATGATTCCATTATTGATCGCTAAGTAATGTTCAAAATATCACATTTCTCTGGTCCAAAATACTGACAGAGTTGTGAAGCGATCATCGTTCAAAGTGATATGGGTTAAAATTGATACAGAAAGCCAATCAGAAATGTCCAAACCGAAGCGCCATCTGATGACAATCAGATCCCAACCTGTTAGTCTATACCTACTGTCATAACTCAGTCCACTTGTCAGTGACTTCATGCAGTACTGTCATGTTTTTGTCTGGCCGCCACCAGCTTTCTTCCAACCTATTCCTACACTACAAAACAAAGTTCGTCGAGTCAGTCGGTGGTTAGGCATACGCAGCACATATCCCAACCACCTCAACTGATAAAGGTTTACTACTTCATCAATTGATCTGCCATCCTTACCTAGTACCCGTTTCGTAATAACAGCATTGCTTACTCAGTAGTCCCAGGATATACGAACAATGCTTCAACGATATCTATGACCGAAAATCAGCATCCTACGAATATCTGTTGGAAGATATTATTCAAGAAGTATAATTCAATGAGTTAGCCGTGGAGATAAGAGAGGTATTAGGGGGTGTAAGAAGGATTTGATTTTGACCGATTTGGTCTCGTGTGCTGTTACGGGTATGAGGGAGGTTGTCACTTCCCGGCTGCCCACACCGTGGAAGGTTGTTTCTTGAGGAACCTGAAAAAGGAAGGTATATTAGTGTTGGTCTTAGAGACCCGGGTGCGTGACCGCAGAGCCCAAGGGATAACTGCTTGAGTCCGGTCACGCACGGCCTTTTTATGAAAGATTTTCTGAGTATTTGCTCCGCTCTTGAAAGCCCTTAGTGGGCACCCTTACCAACGGAGACGGAAATCCGTGAGGCAGGGTGAGGTGTGACATTTTTAGGGTCGACCTTTTCTAACCCTTCCTTCCTTGTGAGAAGGCAGCATTGCTGCACATGCTGGTTGTCCGAGGGAAACGCCTTACTGCTGTCACACCCCTCCTTCACAGTCAGCAGTACGACTTCTCCATTCGGACCTTGAGTATATATATATATATATATATATATATATATATATATATGTATTGTTCGGTGAGACTCCCGACCGAAGCTGCTACCTTGACGTGGTGGTCGGGCTTGACTATCGTGATGACCCAACCGAGCTATATTGGCAGAAACTTATGTTCCTGAATGTTCTACCATGCCAGACAGGTCGATTGGAGAACGATGAGACTAAAAGCAGCTACCCAAGGTCTGAGGGCGAAGTCGTACTACTGACTGCAGAGGGGTGTGACAGCAGTAATGTGTTTCCCTCGGACAACCAGCATCTGCAGCGATGCTACCTTCTCAAAAGGAAGGAAGGGTTAGAAAAGGTTGATCCTAAAAATGTCACACCTCCCCTACCTCACGGATTTCCGTCTCCGTTGGTAAGGGTGTCCACTAAGGGCCTTTAAGAACGGAGCTAATCCTCTAAATACCTTTCATAAAAAGGCCGTGCGTGACCGAACTCAAGCAGTTGTCCCTTGGACTCTGCGGTCACGCACCAACACCAATCCATCTTCCTTTTCAGGTCCCTCAAGAAACAACCTTCCACGGTGTGGGCAGCCGGGAAGTGACAACCTCCCTCATACCTGTAACAGCACACGAGACCAAATTGGTCAAAATCAAATCCTTTCTACACCCCCTAATGTCTTTCTTAAAATATATCGATATATAACACCAATATAACTATTCAATTTACCTGACTTTTATTGATTTTCTTGTGATTATCATTAGTAATTTGATGAGTGACATTGGATAAAATGTGATTTGATGAATTAGTTGATATGACAGTCTTGCCAATTTTACTAACATTACAATGACTATTAGCATTGAATTTCGAATTGTTCAGCGATTTATTTGACAATTGATGATGAACAGGCGGAGCAACAGCCGCCGCAGTAGCACCAGCAGCACCGGCAGCATTATACTTTGGCGGTTGAATATTAGACATTGAAATATTCGGACTGGATGAGGTTTTATTCGATGCTTGACTAATCATCATACCCTTGGACAATGTTGATGGTGGCACAAGACCTGATTTCATTGATTTAGTCTCAATAATTTTATTACTACAATGATGATGATTATTATTATCGGAAGAAGGAATAGATTGTTCCAATTCAGTGAATTCTGGTAAAAGTTCTAAACTGGAATTATTGCTCATTGATTGAGAGTTGTTGTGATGAATATTATGATTATTATCAGTAGTATTATTAGTAGTATCGTTTAATTCATTGTAAAAATCATGATTCTTTTCATTGATATCGTCATCATCATCATCAACAGTTTCATTATTGCATGGTTTCATCAGGTCGGAAACAACAGTCTATGTAAAAAGAAAAATAGAACAAGGGAAAACAATGAGGGAAATAGTTTTTTTAGAAAAAAAAACAACAGATAACCAGATTAACAAGATAATAGTGAATTGATCAAGTTAGACATTAACACCGTCAGATACCGGCTCAGTGGTCCGATGGTTAGGCGTGTTCGCGCACCATATCGAAGGTCCTGGGTTCGAATCCGACGGGGTGTAGGAGTCGTGGATGCGCACTGCTGGCTGTGAGTCCCATACCAGGATGAAACGTCCGTCTCTCAGTGCTTCCAGGTTTCTAATGGTGGTCTAACATTGGTCGATTCATGGTTTTAACCAAAAAATAATAGTTTTAGTTCGATGTGTGGATTTTATCTAGATAAAGTGTAGTGATATTCAATCAATCAGTCAGTTACAACAACGCAGAATTTCATATGTACGTACATTATTTCACGTTGCCATACGACATTAACACAGAGACACAATTGTCAAATCCCATAGTAGTAGAAGTATTAACGGCAATCGAGAAGATTAGGGTTCAACAGACAGACAGATACAATGCAGAACTTCGTACATAAGTTCATCAGTTCAGGTTGCCATACCACGTCAGCAAACAGACGTAACTGTCAGTTCAAATCCAAGAGTGATAGCGATGGTAGAAGTATTAGCAATAATGAAGAAGATTAGGGTTCGAAGATATGACATAATTCAGTGAGAAAAATTTAGAAGGAGAAAGATAGAGATTATGCGGAATTCAGAAGGTTAGAATTAAAAAGCATACAGAGTGGATGCACCTGCGCCATTGCAAACGATTCTGAGCCATGTCGTTCAAGGTCTCTAACTATCAGTTACTATCATCTCGCATACCCCAATTAGTTAGTCTGCATCTATCAACATGACCCAGCCTACTTGTCAGTAACTTCATGGATTTCCGCCATGTTTCGGTCTAGCCGCCCTTAGCTTTCGTCCACCTAACTCCTACACCACAAAACATAGCTCGTAGAGACAGTTGGCGGTTGGGCATATGTAACACACATGTCCAAACCATCTCAACTGATGAAGTTTCACCGCTTCATCTATTGATCTGCCATCCTTATCTGGTATCCGTGCAGTGATATTGGCTAAAAGTAGGTCATAAAGTTGAAAAAAAACATAATCAGTTATTTCTCAGATTCAGATTACCTTTGATGTCATTAATTCATTCTATCTGGGCTTTCCGTTGAGTTGATTTCTTATCGGTACGCTGATGCAACAAGATCTAGCGTTAAATTGGATTGAGTCTCAGTTGTCATAGGTCTTAAAATTAACAACAGATGATTGGTTAGAGTATAAAGGGACATATACATTCGTCGATCAGTGTTCTTTTTAGTACTGATTGGATTGTATCGATTAAGTTGCAAAGTGGCCACTTAATCGAAGTGATACGACATCGCGTGCACTAAGTTGAGATGTAAGGTGCTAGTTGGAGAACGTCGACAGGGGATCATGGATCTGGTCACCAACCAGTGACGGTTTGAAGAAAGTTATTCAAGAAGTATAATCCAGGGAAATAAATTTAGAATGAGAAAAACAGAGATGATGGGGAATTCAGAAGATTCGGATATGAAAGAACACTAAGAATAAATGCATCTGCGCCATTGTAGACGGTTTTGAGCCATTTCGTTCAAGGTCTCTAACCATCGATTATCATCGTCTCGTGGACCAGGTAGTCAGTGACTTGATGAATTTCTGCTTTCTTACAACCTACTCCTACACTACAAAACATAGCTCGTCGAGGCAGGCGGTGGTTGGGGTATTCGTAACACATGTCCCAACCATCTTAACTGATGAAGCTTCAATCTGCCATCCTTACCTAGTAGTGCAGTGATATTGGCTAAAAGTAGGTTAGAAAGTTGAAAACACACAGTCAGCTATTTCTTGCGTTCAGATTCTGATTACTTTTGATGCTATTACTCAGTTTGTCTAGGCTTTTCGTTGTGCTGATTTCTTATCGTTACGCGGATGAAAGAGGTGGAGGTAAACTGGATGAAGTTTCAAATGTAACAGGTCTTAAAATTAACATAAAACGACTGGTTAGAATATAAGGGGACATGTACATATTTACGATCCGTCCACCGCTCGGTAGTGATCAATGTTAGATATATCAGGTCCAATTTAGTACTGACTGAATTCTATCGATTAAGTTGCTAAGTGACTCGACATTGAGTGCACTATGTTGAGACGTAAGCTGCTGGCTGGAGAAAGTCAACATGCGACCATAGGTCTGAAACACACCCCATTTGTCACCAACCAGTGATCGATCAATTGCAAATACATTTTAGTTGCGGCCTGGATAGATAAGTATTAACATCTTTAACTATGAACCGCTGAATGAATTGGAGTAGGGGTTGCCTGTAAGAAAGCTAAGGGCGGCTAAACCAAAACATGCACTAATCGATGAAGTAATTGACATGTGGACTGAGCCATGTTTATTGGTGTAGACTACCTGGTTGAGGTCCACGAGACGATTGCAATCGACTTTGGATGACATGGTTCAAAATCGCCTGCAATCGTGTATCCATTCTTTCGTCCTTTCGCAAATTCGAATTCTCTGAATTCTTCGTCACCCAGTATTTTTACCTTATCAAATCAATTTCACTGAATTACTTTCCTTGAATAACGTCCTCCTCTAACCCTAAAACCGTCCGATTACTGGCTATATTTCTACTGTATCTACTACTATGGAATTTGAATCTACGACTGCATCTCTGTGCTGTGGTGGTATGGTAACTTGAACTGATGTATGTGCGTACGAAGTTCTACGTTATAGCTGACTGGCCGATTGATTACTTTTCATGAACCGTAGACCACCGACCAAGATTATCCAACCAACCCTGACGCAAGCTCTCTTTTGCCCAGCTGCGGATTCAAAGACAACGATTAGAAAACCAAGAGCAACATTTCTACATATGAAACTAAAAACGTCAGTCTTTCAACCAACACCACAACCAGAATCCAAAAACCCGTTCCATTGTATGAAGCAAAAACTTGGAGAACCACAAACGCCATCATCCACAGTTATATACAAAAGATACTGAAGATCCATCGGCCAAACACCATCAACAATAACCTACTGTGTGAGAGATTACAGATGAAGAAGAAATTAGGAAAAAGCGCTGGAGGTGGGAGAGAACAGACAATTCAGAAAGTGCCTAACTATGGTGTCATAAGGAAAGCCCAAGCTTGGAATATCCAACCAAAATGAAAAGAGGAAGACCGGAGAACAAGCTGCGTTGAGAATTGACGAAAATATGAATACCAGCTGGGAACAACTGGAAACGAGAGCTTCCAACAGAGTTGGTTGGATAATCCTGGTCGGCAGCCTACATGCTGCTCCATTAGGGAATAGTAACACGTGTGTCTTCGAAGCATTGCTCGTATATCCAAGGACACCCGAGTGAGCAACGCTGCTATTAGGAATCGGATGCTAGGTATGCTAAGAATGGCAGATCAATAGACGAAGCATTGAAACTTCATCAGTTCAGGTGGTTGGGATATGTGTTGCGTATGCCTAACCACCGACTGCCTCAACGAGCTTTGTTTTGTAGTGTAGGAGTAAATTTTCTAAACTTATCTCACTGAATCATAGTTCTTGAATAATAATATCTTCTAATCCTAACCTCTCCGATTACTTCTAATACGTTTACTACCTCTTCTACTATTGGATTTGAATTGTGGTTTGGCGACTGATGTACTTACGTACCAAGTTCTACGTTGCATCTGACTAACTGAACACGTGTGTAACTAACTAACTAACAAATTTATCTCATAGTAAGAAAACAAAAAATAAATATCACTCACCTTAGCGCCTTGTTGTAGCAGTTCACTGATATCTTCAGCATCAAGTACATCAATCACGTTAATATCTTGTTTGTTTAGTGAAAAATCACTACTGTTCAATGTATTACTAATTGGTTTGGACATAACGGAAGATGGTGTCGGCAAACCGGATTTTTGTGTATTTGACGTCGGTAGTGAACATTGGACAGTGGACATTGTTGATGGAGGAATAATCCGACGAGGTACATAACCTTCATTACTATTAGTCAGGTTGTTGATATTCTTATTACATTTTAACGATGATAACTTGGATTCATTGTGATTTTTAGCTGAAAATAAATTAAGAAAAAGAACGAGGGAATGAGATTTATTTAATTTCTGGTTAGCGTTCTTTTTTAAGCGAGTTAGCTTATTACGCGACGGGGTGGCCAACCTCATGTCCGACCCTTCTTCTTGCTTATCCGGTCTTGGGACCAGCAGTAGCCCCACAGGTGCTCCATCACTCGTCGGTCACTAGCTAGTATTCTACGTTGTAATATTTTATGTGATCTATCAGTTGGTGATGCTGGATGCTTACAAATCACTAGACAAACATCTTATCTCTGTAACTTATTTGTGGTAGTTTGAATTCCTCATTTTCGCAACGAAAGCGCTCATTATTTACATTCAGTGTGTTTTTCCCACCTGGAAGGATTTTAGGCGTTACCGGTTCGTTTTCACTTTTAGTATGTGTTATTTCGTGACATTTTAAAAGATTGAAGGAGAGAATAGAGGAAGTCTATTTGGCTACCGAACCGAATGTATAAATACTCGTCTCTATATATAAATTCATTCTGAAACAGAGTATTTAGCCTCTCATTATCGCCATCGCAGAAACGGAGCGTGTCCGGGTATTATAACTACGGAAAAGGAAAGTGTGTGTTAAATTTAGTGGCTCGCCACTTGACTCCAGTTGGACGAATGATCAAGTATGCGATGAAATAAATCATCCCTGCTTGTGTGACGTTGGTCATAAGAATCTAAATACAGTTTTGAGGATAAATTTATTTTAAGCAGACAGACATGAGAATGTAAAGAGTACAAGCAAAGCGAAGCGAAGTGAATCGGAGAAGGCCCGACCGAAGCTGCTACCTTGACGTGGTGGTCGGGCTTGCCTATCGTGATGACCCAACCGAGCTATACTGGCTGGAACATATGTTCCTGCAGGTCCTACCATGCCAGGCTGGTCGATTGGAGAACGATGAGACTAAAAGCAGCTACCCAAGGTCTGAGGGCGAAGTCGTACTGCTGACTGCAGAGGGATGTGACAGCAGTAAGGTGTTTCCCTCGGACAACCAGCATCTGCAGCGATGCTGCCTTCTCAAAAGGAAGGAAGGGTTAGAAAAGGTCGGCCCTAAAAATGTCACACTCCCCCTAACTCACGGATTTCCGTCTCCTTGGGTAAGGGTGTCCACTAAGGGCCTTTAAGAACGGAGCTAATCCTCAAAAAACGTTTCATAAAAAGGCCGTGCGTGACCGGACTCAAGCAGTTGTCCCTTGGGCTCTGCGGTCACGCACCAACACTAATCTACCTTCCTTTTCAGGTCCCTCAAGAAACAACCTTCCACGGTGTGGGCAGCCGGGAAGTGACAACCGCCCTCATACCCGTAACAGCACACGAGAGGCCAATCTGGTCGAAATCAAATCCTTCCTACACCAAAGCATACCTCTCTTCTCTCTACAACTAACTCTACTCACACTGCCTTTTCTCACTGCACCGCTAATGCAGACGAAGCGAGATCACGAAACGTCGTTCCTGGTCTCTTGAAACCCCGTTCTAGACTACATATTGGAGCCTTTAATGTACGGACATTGTGTCAAATAGGGCAACAGGCATCATTAGCTAGGACTTTAGAAACTCGTGCCATCGATGTATGCTGCGTCTCGGAAACGCGCATACAGGATCCTAGTAAAGTCATTAACCTGATTCCACCTTGTCAAAAGGAAGAAGCAGCTCGATTTACTCTTCGGGTATCCGGTAGCCCTGATGCTGCTTCCAGGGGTCTTGCTGGCGTAGGCATAGCATTGAGTCCTAGGGCAGAATTATCTCTCCTAGACTGGATCCCAGTAGATAGTCGTTTGTGCGCTGTCCGACTAAACGGGACAGTAAGGACTCGTAAGGATAGGGACACTCACCGTTGCCTCTTCGTCATATCTGCCTATGCCCCCACTGACTGCAGTGCAGACGAGGTTAAAGATGAGTTTTACAGAAAGCTTTCGGACCTCCTCCAAAAAGTTAAGCGCTCTGACATAGTAATAATAGCTGGTGACTTTAATGCTCAAGTAGGTAGACTAAGTGAGCAGGAGAGACACCCAGGTGGATGTTATGGTGTAGCGACTGAAAGAACAGATAATGGCGACCGTCTGTTGCAACTGTGCTCAGATAACCGCCTATTCTTAGCAAACACCAACTTTAGGCATAAGGAAAAGCATCTGCTGACCTGGCGACCTCCAAAGTCGTCTCAACGTTGGACTCAGCTAGATCACATCGCCATCAGCCACCGATGGAGGGGTTCGATAGAAGACTGTCGCTCGTTCTGGAGCACATGTTTGGATTCAGATCATGCTCTAGTGCGAGCTCGTATCTGTTTAAGGCTTACTGGACGTAGGAAAGACACCGTAAGAAAGCCTCTTAGGGTTTTACTTAATGATAATCAAACCAAGAAAATATTTCAGGAGCTACTAGAAAGAGAGTTAAGCAACCATGCAAGCGATTCCCATCCAGAAGCAGGTTGGTATGATATCAAAAAGGCTGTGGAAACAGCAGTGATATCTGCTAGTAAGGTAAACCATGAGGCTAGGATGAAGCCGTGGATTTCAGCCGCATCCACCGAACTGATGGATGCTCGAAAACGCATCCCACCTGACTCTGAGCATGATGAAGAGCGTAGTCAGCTTAGGCGCAGACTTATAAAAAGTCTGCGTAACGACCGCGAACTGTGGTGGGTGGCGAAAGCAAAGGCGATGGAAAAGGCAGCGGCGATAGGCAACACTAGACAACTTTTCCGCCTTATTAAAGAAACCGGTATTAAGAACCCGAATGTGAGTGAGACTATCTCGGAAAAGGATGGTCTTATTATCCATTCTCAATCCAGGAGACTGGATCGACGGGCAGAACACTTTAGGGATCAGTTCAACTGGCCACGAGCCACTCTTCAGTTACCCACGATCTCCAGTCATCCTGAATGGCAAATCGACCTAAGTCCCCCTAGTCTTAATGACGTTGAGAAAGCGTTAGGAAATCTGAAACGAGGACGAGCTGCAGGTCCTGATAGACTGACCCCTGAGATATTTAAGGATGGTGGTCCAGTTTTAGCAGCTAGATTGACTGAGATCTTAGGTAAAATCTGGGAACTGGACGTAATCCCATCCGACTGGTCTCAATCCTTGATTGTCCCAATCTATAAGAAAGGACAAAAGACTTCTTGTGACAATCACAGAGGAATAAGTCTAACTAATATAGTATCTAAAATATTGGCCTCAATAATACTTCGACGCTTAACGAAAGCTCGTGAAGAGCAGACTCGAGAAAACCAGGCTGGTTTTCGACCTGGACGTGGCTGTATAGACCACGTCTTCACACTCAGACAGGTCCTGGAACATAGACACACATTTAGGCGTCCTACAATAGTTGTTTTCCTAGACCTTAGGGCGGCATTTGACTCTGTGGATCGTAACGTTCTGTGGCAGTGTCTGTCATTGAGAGGTGTACCAAAGAAGTACAATAACCTTATACAAGCTCTTTACTCGAACACCACTGGTCGGGTGAGGGCTTATGGCGAACTGTCACCGGAATTCTCTACATCAAGTGGTGTCCGTCAGGGATGTCCACTTTCTCCATTCTTGTTTAATTTTATCATAGACATGCTCCTAGAGTTAACATTATCCTCGTCTGAATTTTCAGGAGTAGACCTTCTTCCAGGTGGCTCGCTTATTGACTTAGAATATGCCGATGACATAGTCCTACTTGGTGAAGACGCTGACAAAATGCAGAGTCTTCTGACTACCATAAGCAACAATGCAAGCATGTTCGGGATGCGGTTTTCCCCATCGAAATGCAAAATGTTGCTTCAAGACTGGGTTGCATCGGCACCTGAACTAGTGATAGGGAGTGAAGTAGTCGAACGTGTAGATCGATTCACTTATCTTGGGAGTCTCGTCAGTGCCGATGGCCTGGTGACTGACGAAATCTCAGCACGGATACAGAAGGCTCGATTGGCTTTTGCCAACCTGCGTCACTTATGGCGTAGGCGAGATATCCGTTTGCTGACTAAAGGACGAGTGTACTGCGCAGTAGTTCGCTCCGTCTTACTTTATGGCTGTGAAACATGGCCGTTAAGAGTAGAAGATGTTCGTAGGTTACTAGTATTCGATCATAGATGTTTAAGAAGCATTGCTCGTATATCGTGGGACAGCCGAGTGAGCAACGCTGTTATTAGGAATCGGGTGCTAGGTAAGAATGGCAGATCAATCGATGAAGTATTGAAACTTCACCAGTTGAGGTGGTTGGGACATGTGTTGCGTATGCCGAACCACCGGCTGCCTCGTCGAGCCTTGTTTTGTAGTGTGGGAATAGGTTGGAAGAAAGTTAGGGGCGGCCAAACCAAAACATGGCAGAAATCCATGAAGTCATTGACGAGTGGACTTAGCCATGTCGGTAATTGTCGACTACCTGGTTGGGGTCCGCGAGATGATAATAATCGATGGTTAGAGACCTTGAATGACATGGCTCAAAATCGTTCGCAATGGCGCCAGTGCATTTATTCTCTGTGTTCTCTCAAATGCTAATCTTCTGGATTCTTCACCATCTCTAGTTTTGACTTTCTAAACTTTTCTCACTGAATCATACTTCTTGAGTAGTATCTTCTAATTCTAACCTCTCCGATTATTTCTAATTCCCTTACTACCTCTTCTACTATTGGATTTGAATTGACGATTACTTCTCTGTGCTGATGTTGTATGGCAACATGAACTGATGTACTTATGTACAAAGTTCTACGTTGCATCTGACTGACTGAATCGGAGAAGGCGAATGAGCCAATTCTTATGCGCTGAAGCATTATGACTAAGTATTTATAGTCAGGAAATAATAGGCTAGATATGTAATAAGCGAGTAAGCATGCACACACACACACACACAATCAAATATACTGCCATAATTGTATAATGATTGATGTCACTGACAAGTGTACTGAGTCATGTTGGTAGATGTCGACTACCTGGTTGGGGTCCGCGAGACGATTGTCACCAATGGTTAGAGAGAGACCTTGAACGACATAGCTCAAAATCGTTTGCAATGGCGCAGGTGTATGCACTCTTTGTGTTCTCTCTAATTCTAACCTTCTGAATTCCTCATAATCTCTATCTTTCTCCTTCTAAATTTATCTTAATGAATTATACTTCTCGAATCATATCTTCCCTCCCTAATCTTCTTCATTACTGCTAATACTTCTACTATCACTATCACTCTTGGATTTGAATCTCTGTGCTGATGTGGTATGGCAACCTGAACTGATGTACGTACGTACGAAATTCTGCGTTGTATCTATCTGTCTAGATATATTAGCAACACTGTTGGATAACAGCTCGGTGGTCTGCAGATTAAACGTTCGTTTATCAGACCAAAGATTACTAAGTACGATCCACAGACGCTCACTACTTAAGAATATCATACCGGAAAAAAATGAAACATCACTCCAATATCTCTAAGTTTCCATCTACAATAATATAATAGGCGAGATATCCGTTCGCTAACCAAAGGACGAGTGTACTGTGCAGCAGTTCGCTCCATACTTCTATATGGATGCGAAACATGGCCGTTAAGAGTAGATGATGTTCGTAGGTTATTAGTATTCGATCGTAGATGTCTTAGAAGCATTGCTCGTGTATCGTGGGGCAACCGAGTAAGCAATGCTGTCGTTAGGAAACGAGTACTAGGTAAGGATGGCAGATCAATAGATGAAGTATTAAAACTTCATCAGTTAAAGTGGTTGCCACATGTGTTACATATGCCTAAACACCGATTGCATCGTCGAACTATATTTTGCGAAGTAGGAATAGGTTGGAAGAAAATTAGGGGCGGCCAGACCAAAACATGGCACAAATCCATGAAGTCACTGACAAATGGACTGAGTCATGTTGGTAGATGTAGGCTACCAAGTCACCAATGGTTAGAGACCTTGAACGACATGGCTCAAAATCGTTTGCAATGGCAGAAGTGCATCCATTCTTTGTGATCTCTCAAATCGTAATCTTCTGGATTCGTCAGCACCTCTACCTTCTTTGTCTTTCTAACCTTATCTCACCAAATTATATTTCTTGAATAATATCTTCAAACCCTAGTCTTCTTCTTCATTACCATTAATACCTCTCCTATCTTTATCACTATGGGATTTGATTTGACCTTTGAGTCTCTGTGCCAATAATGTGGTATGGCAACTTGAACTTATGTACGAAGTTCTACGTTGCAACTGACTGATCTACAAATAGGAGATAGTCTAAATAATAACAATTTTGTGAAAAAAAAACTTGATAAATCTTGATAAATTCACCTCCTACTTACCATTTGTAATAGTATTAGCTCCGAATGATGCACAGTTAAGCTTTTTATCAGTATTCTTACTACTAATACTATTCTTACTATTCACATTGACAACAGCTGTCGTGTTAGTTGTAGTAGTAGTAGTAGTCGGAGTAGTCGAAGTAATAGAATGAGATATTCCACTATAAACAATATTCTTGTCAATATGTTTGGATGTGACTGTCGTCTTTTTCTTCATCATTACTGTCGTTGGAATTGTAGTCTGATGCAAATGTTTTTGTTGTTGTACATCGTCGGAGCCATGATCTAAAAAATGTATTGTACCGGTATTACTACCGCCAGCGCCACCAATAAACGATCGAGATGTGCTAGTATTATTATTATGATTATTAGTTGACTTTGTTGTCTTATTGTTCAAATGATGACTAGGTATTTTAGACTTGTGCAAATTACTATTACTACTACTACTACTAGCACTACCACTACTACTAGTAGTAGTATTAGTATTATTGATCTTATTTTGTGGTGATGTATACGATGAACTTTTTGACACTCTATACGGATGTAGTAGTTTCGTTGGTATTTGACAATGATTAGACACTTCACCTTTCTCGCCTACATGATTATTTAACTCATTATAGTCATTGTCAAGATTGTTATTATTATTATTCACTAAAGATTGATGATCTGTTGTGTCTAACTTTAAAGCTGTCGATATCGACGGTTGTTGTTGCTGTTGTTGTGATGCGGAAGACGAGGATGACGATGACGAAGACGACGAGGTTGTCGATGCCGAGGCTGATGAGATTGAACATGTGGATGCTACTATTGGTTTTTGTTGACAATATGGTTGTTGTTGTTGTTGTTTACGCAGCAGTGATATTGATTTCGGTCGTGGCATAGCCGATGTAATACATTCTTGTAATAATGAATGTTCCATTCCAACGGATTCAATACTAAGCAACGATGAAAATGAACTGCCATCATCTTTATCCGTGGTGATATTACAATGAAATCGACATGATGATGACGATGCTGATGATGATGATGATGATGATGATGGTATAGAGGAATTCGGTACAAGTATACCATCAGTTTGTGGCTTATTTTCAATGGATTGTAAACATGATTTAGATGATTGTTCTGATAGATCTGAGTAAAAAAAAAAGTTTACAAAAAATAACAATCATATACGGTAAACTAGTAAAATTCTTTTCATTCATAACAAGATTCCAATTTACGAGTTAATATTACAGAATGTAAGTTAGATAAATGAGAAAATGAGTCAATATTAAGAAGTAGTGTCAGTTTTAAGGTGACTGACTGTCTTTGATCAACTATAGTGCCGAATAAAGTATAGAGAACGACGACAGGTATATTGAGTCTGTACTTCCTCATCGAATGTTCTTTTACATAGCCACCGTATGTACAAGGCATTTGTATCAAGTGTGATTTGGTCGGTGCATGTTGTGTTGTATCGGAGAACCATGCTTTTCCCTTTGCAAGATTCTCTAATACAATACTACAGGCACAAACGAAATCACACTTTATGGAGATGCCTTGGACGACATTCAAAACCTTTACATATCTGGGCAGAATCATTGATGAGCAAAATGGATCTAATGCAGATATGAAGGCGTCGATCAGCAAAACAAGGGCAGCATTTCTACAACTGAACAACATCTAAAACTCAAAACAACTATCAAACAACACTAAAGACAAAATTTTCAATTTGCTCTCGTGTGCTGTTACGGGTTCAATCGCGGCCAAACTAAAACATGGCAGAAATCCATAAAATCATTGACGAATGGACTTAGGCGTGTCGGTAACTGTCGACTACCTGGTTGGGGTCCGCGAGATGATAATAATCGATGGTTAGAGACCTTGAATGACATGACTCAGAATCGTTCGCAATGGCGCCGGTGCATTTATTATTTGTGTTCTCTCAAATCCTAATCTTCTGGATTCTTCAACTTTGTAAACTTTTCCCACTTAATCATACTTCTTGAATAATATCTTCTAATCCTAACCTCTCCGATTACTTCTAATACCTTTACTACCTCTTCTACTATTGGATTTGAATTGACAATTACATCTCTGTGTTGATGTGGTATGGCAACATGAACTGATGTACTTACGTACGAAGTTCTACGTGGCATCTGACTGACTGACTGACACAATTTTCAATACAAATGTCAAGATAATTTTATTATATGAAGTGGATACCTGAAGGACCACGAAAGCCATCATCCAGAACATACAAGCATTCATTACCAATTATCTACGCAAAATTCTGAGGATCCATTGGCCAGATACTATTAGCAACAACTTACTGAGCAAGAGGACATAATAGATTCCAGCTGAGAAAGCAATCAGGAAGAAGCGCCAGAGGTACATACGACACACATCGAGAATTGAGAATGTTAGTCGGCGGATAATACTCTATTGGGGGGTAACAGGCTTAAGTTAGTAATATACAGCTGTACTCATTGACCTCTTGTTACACCTGTATTGTTTACCGAATTGAGAGAACGAAAAAAGAGAATGACTAATCAGGGCTTAAACCAGGTTGAAGAGTACGGAGAATTCACCTTAGGCAACTTAGTAAAGCTTGATTTTAAACCTATGGTACACATGAACTCTAGGCTCCTGACGCAATAACTAATAGTCGCCTGATAACATAGAACTACTGTATCTCTTGACATAGTAGATCCAATGCTTTTAGGTTCAAAGCTAAGGGAGTGAGTGATACATCAATAGTTAGACATGCTTTTAGCACTAATGTGTATTTCAGCCTTTGCAGCAGTAGGTCTCAACATACATAAAGGAAAAAGCAAAATTCTCCGATGCAACACAACATGCACCAACCAAATCACTCTTGATGGAGATGGCTTGGAAGACGTTAACACCTTTAAATATCTGGGCAGAATCATCGACAATCAAGGTGAATCCGATGCAGATGTGAGGGTGCGGATTGGCAAAGCAAGGGCTGCATTTCTACAACCGAACAACAACTCCAAATCCAAACAACTATCAACCAAAACCAAAATCAGGATTTTCAATACAAATGTCAAGACAGTTCTACTGTATGGAGAGGAAACATGGAGAACTACGAAAGCCATCATCCAGAAGATACAAGTGTTTATTAACAGTTGTCTACGCAAAATACTTCGGATTCGTTGGCCAGACACTATCAGCAACAACCTACTGTGGGAGAGAACAAACCAGATTCCAGTGGAAGAGGAAATCAGGAATAAGCAGTGGAAGTGGATAGGACACACACTATGAAAAGCACCAAACTGTGTCACAAGACAAGCCCTTACATAGAACCCTCAAGGTATAAGAAAGGGAGGAAGGCCAAGGAACATATTACGCCGAGAAATAGAGGAAGATATGCGAAGAAATGAACAAACATTGGACAGAACTGGAAAGAGAAGCCCAGGACAGAGTTGGTTGGAGAAAACTGGTGGGCGGCCTATGCTCCATTGGGGGTAACAGGCGTAAGTAAGTACGTGTATTTTTAGAATTGTTAAGGCAATAATGTGTACAGCATCACATAAATCAGTCGAATACAATCTAACGCCAATAATAATAATAATAAAACTTACTTTGTGAACGTGAAACAATCGGAGAATTCAATGAATAACATTCACTTTGTAACATTGGTGCAACTGTTGCACATGGTCTAATCAAATCAGAAATTTTAATAAATGGATCTATACTACTAGTACTACTACTACTACTGTTACTACTACTACCACTACTACTAGCAGTAGCAACAGCACCAGCAGCCGTAGTAGTTAATGTCGATGTTGTACGAATTGGTGGAATCGGCCGAATTGTATTCAACGGAACAGAAAATGTTAATAATGATGATGATGAAGCAGTTGAAAACATCGACGGCATCTCAGAAGCAGTTAACAACACTTCACCTGAAGTTGTCGTCACTGTTGATGTCAGCGTGGTGGTATTATTATTCATTATAGGTATTATTATACATGAAGCAGTATCATCATCTTGATCAAGTGAACACATTTGTAAACAGTCAGTATTATTATTATTATTATTATTATTATTAGCGTGATAATAGTTCGTTAATTTAATTTGACCAGATTTTGGCATAGCTGATTGGATTACTTCAGTTAATAAGAAATTCGAGGATGATGAATTATGATGCTCATCGTCATCGTCATCCTCATCTACGTCATCGTCATCGTCATTCAAAGAACTGGAAGTGGTTGTGGATGTAACTCGTTGTAGATTATCATCGTCAACTGCCTTATTCATTTCTGCTCTAGTCATCATTAATAAATCATTGAATGAATTCAATTTTGTTGTTGACATATCCAATGGTGGTGTATCTTCCACAGCGAATGTTTTCAAGGTGTCATCTAAATCGGTATAAAGAATATTTGTTGATGCGTGTGCTGTTGTAGTCGGTGTGATAAATGATGTGAAGTTATTATTGGATGGCATTGCTGAAGCGATACATTGTTGTAATATTTTTGAATCATTATTTTTCATATGATGATCATGATTATCGCCATCATCATCGACGTCGTCGGCATCCTCGTCGGCGTCTACATCGTCACCGTCTGCCATTACTGTACTACAATTATTTATAGTTTTCATGTCAGTTTGATTATAATGATGATGGAAATATAATGGATTGGAATTTTCCACCGACATCAACAACATGGTATCGTGTAAAGGTACACTCGATGGTAACAACGGTAGCGGGGCTGTAGGCGGTGGCGGGGTACCTTCTTCAGCAAACGCCAAACGTACATCTTCATCAGCACAACTATTGATTTCATAGAATTCATGATTCGAGTGTGGATTTTGTTCATTAGTAGTACAACAACAACTACCGCTACTACTACTACTACTATTAGAAGAGGTAGTAATGTTATCATTACTGCGACTACTGTTACTACTATTACTATTACTATTACTGTCATCTACATTGACATCCTGAATTGATAATAATTCACTTTTCTGTCGACTTGAATATTCACTTTCTCTCAATGATTGACAATCATCATCATCATCATCATCAGCACCATTCAAATCTACCGACGATAAATAGGACGATGTACCACGTGAATAAATCAATGGAGTTTGTTTTGATGAGAGTAAATCATATTCTTGACAAATTACAGCTGCGGTTGATGCAGGCGCTGCGGGCAGCGGTGGCAGCAGCGGAGGTGATGGTGGCATAGGAAATTGACTGCTCACAGCACTTGAATCAATTGTTGTGCGTTCTTGTTCCGTAACATGCATTGATAGTAATGGTGAAACGAGTGCAGAAATATCTTCCGGTGGTGAAGGTAAATAACCGACTTCATCCTCCTCCTCATCCTCTCCAACATCATCATCATCATCATCGCCACCGACATCTTGTCTATTATTGAAATCATTCAATTCAATTAAATTTAATTGAAGTTCACTATGATTCAAACTAGTTGCATAACTTGACTGTGTATCATCATTATAGTTTGTCGGTGTACCTTCGACAGCATAAATATGCGGTATGGAATCATTATCGTTTGTATTCTGATGACTAGGATAGTTGGTATTAATTTTATCCAATAAAAATAATTCATTTGATTGATGCAATTCTAAACAAGATCCTTCAGTGGAATTCGACAAGAATGGTGTACCTTCTTCAGCGTAAACACATGTTTGTTCGCCTTCGTCAACATCAACATCGACACCCGACGGCATGTTATGATTAAAATGATAAGCAACGTGATGATGATGATGCTGGTGTGGATGTGTATGATGACAACAGTTGATTTGATTGTACCAATTCGATGACTGTTGGTCGTCTTGTTGTGGTTGTTCTACTTCATAATGTTGAAGATGATGATGATGATGATCACTAGTTGGTTCAGTCAATATAAATTGACTATCATCATCACATAAACTTTCGGAATTTTTCTTATGATTCAATAATTTCCTAGGAATATTTGAATAAGTATTGTTAGAAAATTCATAGTCAACATGTTGATGAGTTTGTCGGATACCAAAGTCTAGTTGATCAGCATTTACAGGATCATCAGGGAGCGGAGGCGGTGGTGGCGGCGGCGGCACATCTTCATCCTCTTCGTCATCCTCATCGCCATCCTCGTCAATATCATCATCTTCGTCATCATCCTCCAGTTCATCATCACTTTCTGCTTCGAATACAACAGATAGTAAACCGAAACGAAGTCTAGATGTTCTTGATGATGATGATGATGCGATACGACGTTTACAAGTTAGTTGATGTTGTTGTTGTTGTGGCTGTTGCTGCACTCCAACCGTATCAGCAGTACTACTACTACCACTATTATGAGTAGTATTGCACACCGTCATATGATCATTATTATTACTATTATTATCACAAGTACGTGCAATCAACTGATTCATGATTGGTTTGGTTGTTGTTGTTGTTGACAATGGGGACGAAGAGGATTCATTCAGCTGATTCGTAGCATTGTTGTACATTGATGAGATGTCAACATAATTGTCATGCATTGATTTATTAGTTTGTATTAAATTACAATAAACAGCTAATGAACTAGTACGTATTAAATCATGTTTTGATTGAGTTAATTGTTGAATTAAATCTAATGCACCCAAGTGTAATAGAAGTAAACGATCATTATTACTACTACTACTACTACTGATATTGTTATTATCAGTAGTAGTGTTGTTGTTACTAGTTGGCATATTGTTTATATCGTTCATTGTAGAAGAGGAACACGTCAGATTCCATAGCGTTCCACATACATTCACTACAACTGTTAAACTTGGTGGATTACGTAATAGGTTCAATAAAATTGGATAACAGTTATGTTGATGAAGTATAGACCTGAAGATGAAAGACAGAATGAATAACAATGCGTTTAGTTTAATGAATACAAATAGATAAAGAGAGATGGGGAGAGACAAAATAGAAACCTTTGTAAGGGTAGTTAGTCTAGCAAGTTGGGGTCCGCGGGACACCGTTAGACGCCTTTGAAATTGATTCTATTCGTTTGTATCATCGTATCTTCGATCTCTAATCTTTTACATTACCGTTAATACAGCTAAAATCTCGACTACTGTAGGATTTCAATTAAGAATTCCATCTCTCTGTGCTAATGTGAAATGGTAACTTGAACTCATGTACGTATAACTAAGTATGTACGTACATTGATTCAAGCTGCCATACCACGTTAGCACAGAGAGATCAAATTGTCAATTTAAATACCATCGTGGTAGATGTAGTAGAAGTATTAGCAATAATCAAAAAGATTCAGGGATGGTAGATATGATTCGACAAGTATATCTCAGCGTAGGCAATTTAAGAAGAGTAAAGACGTTCATTAGTAATTCAGAAGATTATAACTAATGTACGTACATACGGAGTTTTACGTTGTAAGTGACTAGCTGAAATGAGATAGTTTATACAAATACGAAACTGATATTGACACTTTTATTCAACAATTCAAACAATTGTTTTGTTTCAATTGACTGTGGAAATGAATTTTTTCAACTGGACCTGAAGTTGCACATATTTCTTGCACGGAATAAGGTTACAGGGAGACACAATACATCCAACATGAAATCTGTTGAATTTATAATCTGACGTCAGCATATTAGGTCATCAATCTTAGAAAGAAATCTATGATGATAGACATTGAAATAAGAAATCTAGTCACGTTGATTTGATGTTTACTCATTTTCTAGGCATCCGAGACAGGGATAGTTGGGGGACAGAGCGAAATAAGTTAGTTTAACACATGACTACATGTAAAGGTCTTAACATTGAATTATTGCTCTTGTATATGGAAGCAAAACATAATCGGTTACATGGTTTTCGATTATAGATATCTTTGAAGCATCGCTCGTGTATCCTGAGACAACCACGTAAGCGATGATGTCGTTAGCAAACGACGACTAGGTAGGGAGGGTAGATGAGGCATCAAAACTCCATCAGTTGAGGTGGTTGAGACATATGTAACGGATGCCCAACCGCCAACTGACACGACGAGAGATGTTTTGTGATATAGGGGTAGGCTGGAAGAAAGCTAAGGGTGGCCAAACCAAAACATGGCACAAATCCGTCAAGTCATGTTGTTACATGTAGACTACATGTTTTGGGTCCACCAGACGAGCTTGAGCGGTATGGCTCAAAATCGTTTGCAATGGCGCAAGTGAATCCATTCTTTGCGATCTCTCAAATCCTAATCTTCTGGATTCGTCAGCACCTCTACCTTCTTTGTCTTTCTAACCTTATCTCACTGAATTATACTTCTCGAATAATATCTTCCAACCTTAATCTTCTCCATTATCGTTAATAAGTATACTATTTCTACGGGGCTTCAAGTGACAATTATGTCTCTGTGCTATGACAACTTGAACTTATGTACGTACGTACGTGCGTACGTACAAAGTTCTATGTTGTAATCAACTAACTAACTGATTCTTGTATAAAAATTCTTTTTTTTAAGAGGAAAAAATGTGTCAAGAATGAACACAAGAATAAAAACTCTTACCGATAATGATCATGCGAAGCGATAATTGTCGAGATATTACGTAAAATACCACCACTATTTTCGATAATAATTAAATTTTGTATAGGATTTTGAAGATGTAACATTTTCAGTAGAAATTCAAATACACCATCCACACTTGAAGGAGATGAGAGAAAGAGAGAGGGAGAAAAGCAAATTACAGTAAGAGAAAGAATAATGCAATTTCATATAATTAGGGAAAATATTATTTTTACATTAATGCAAGTTTTATTTTATTTGAAACTCGTTACCTGGATGGCTGGCCCAACCTTATACATCAAAGTACTAATGTTTATTTATATTGATCTATGGGACTATAACTTTTTACTACTGTTATAATGCTGCTACGTATAAGCTAGCTATTCAGTCCTAGCGGCGTCCAATTCAATTATCCCAATACGACCCAAAATGCTCAATTCCAAATCTCCTATATATCAGAATGCAACACCGTGGGATGTGGGATTTGTTTATTGGGTCGAGTACAGAAGAGAGAAGGTAGGCAGGAAGACACGGAATCGGAATCATGAAGTCTTACAGATAGTGCGTATTTTTATACATTTAGGTCGAATAGGAAACAGCATCAAAGTCTGTGACATTGACAGTTTAGGACGATCAATAGGAAAGAACATTTGAAATGACATTTACAGTCCGGATGACCAATAAGAGAGACAACATTGAAGTATTTGACTTTGACAGTTAAAACGACCATAATTTTGACCAATAGGATTATACTTCCAAAAAGAGTAGTACTCTTAGGATATTTGGTGAATATCCTAATAACTACAAACATCAACATGTTATCATCCATTGATCGGTGTCAGACAACATCGCTTACTCTTATTCACTTTTTCTCTTTCTCCTGATAATTGATGTGAACATTTCAGTGGAGGCAAGGGAAGCTCGGATACAGATAGACAGACCATTTAGACTTTCCAAATTACCTAACTGTTCTATCTCATACACAACAAAAGATTAAGGAGAAGATGGCTAGTGTAGTAGCGTCAGTTTCTGAAACAGTAAGTTTCAACATACACAAGAGAAAAAAGCAAGATCTACGGATGCAATAGGATATGCATCAACCAAACAGCAATTCAATTGAGAAGTTGTGGTAAAGTTTACTCATCTGGTCAGCATCAATGATAAACAAGGTGGACCTGATACCGATGTAAAGACATGGATTAGCGAGGTAAGTGCAAAGTCTCTACAATTGAAGAACATCCGCAACTTAAAACAACCATAGTTTTCAATACGAACGTCAAGAAAGTTCTATTGTACGGGGCGGAAACATGGAGAACTATGAAAGCCATCATCCACAAGATACAGGTGTTTATTAAAAGCGGTCTACGCAAGTTACTTTGGACTCGCTGGCCATACACCATCAGCAACATTCTACTGTGGAAGAGAACGAACCGGATTTTAGCTGATGAAAAAATTAGGAAACAGTGCCGGGAGTGGATAGGAAACACATTTAAGATATCATCCAAGCGCATCCACAAGGCATGTTCTAACTTGGAATCCTCAAAGTGAAGAGATACTAGTTAGAGCAAGACATATATTGAGTCAAGGATTGGAGACAGACAAGAAACTGTGAACAGCTGGAGAGAAGAGCCCGAGATAGAGTTGATCGGTGGTCTATATTTCACGGGGGGTAAGGTAACAGGAGAAAGTAAGTAATTAAAAAATTAAGCAAACCGTAAACACCATATACCTGCATACAGATCGTTTGTTTTGAGAACAATGTGCACTAAGATTCCATAGAGCACTAAGCGTAGTTCGTAAAGTACTTTCACGTTGTGCATTCATAGCAGCAATTGTTAAACGTTTAGCAGCACAAACACGACGAAGAGCAGCTTTACTTCTATTATCTGTACGCCAACTAAGATTGCGTAATACACTGGCTGATACCTAGTACAGATAAATGGAATGCAGATTTGAAAAAAAGTCTTACTTATAGGAAATCTAAATGTTGCAGAAAAAAGATGCCTTCATGCAGGATTGAAATCCGCGTTACTCCAGACAAAGGATCGACGGCTGATTGTCAGAGAATATCACTTACCTTGTTTCGGGAACCTGGGCAATAATCTTAGCTCACATGCACAAGTTCAATAATCACTGTATTTTTCAATCGTTAATACAACTATAGCTAAACAGTAATTTAACTGTTAAAGATATTATAAATTGTGACTATGCAACAGACAGTGATGATTGTACCGAAAGATTAACTACAAAACAGTCAGAAGCATAAAACCAAGTTAATCGAAATCCGATCAATGAGGTTGAAAGTTGTATGATACACAGAGAAGAGTGGGTGATTCTTCATAGTCGAATTTATCAACACAGATATGACAAAATCTCAAAAACCAAGTAGTGAGTAGAATGAGTTTTTAGTTGGCGTAACCTCCTAAGGTTACAAGTGTCAGTCCCAATCCCGGTAAAAAGCGGAGGATTGGGCATGCGGGTTAGCGACCCTATCCCGTAGAAATCAAGCTCGCTGAAAAAAACGCTAGCCAGAAAAATAATAATTCGCTGGTCAGTGGTCTATGCTTCATTAGGGGTAACAGGCGTAAGGAAGTAAGCTTACAGAACAAACAAGTTTCCAGCTGAGAAAGGAATTAGGAAAAACCGTCATGAAGCAAGGAAATGAAGCACATTGCGTAAATTACTGAACTGCATAAGAAGATAAGCCTTAAATTGAAATCTTTAGGGCCAAAGAAAAAGAGGCACACCAAAGGTTGACATCAAAAACTTGAACAGCTCTTGAAAAGAAGCAGTGAAACCAAAAGAACGCAAGACAGAGTTGTCAGTCACAGAATGTTGGTCAGTGACCTACGCTCCACAAGGGCTAACAGAAGTAAGTAATTAAATAAGACAAAATGATAATCATTTTCAACTAGAGTTATGCAGATCAGTGCTTTTACACATTGAAATCATAAATCAATGATTGTTAGACCACCATTAGAAACCTAGAAGCAATGAAAGACAGCCATTTCGTCCTGGTATGGGACTCATCAGTTACAGTGCGCATCCATGATTCCTGCTACTCGCATGACTCGAATCCTGGACGTCCGGTCTTGCGCGAGAGTGCCTAACCTCTGGTGATGAGTCTCATATCAAGATGAGACGGCCATCCAGTGCTTCCAGGTTTCTAATGGTGGTCTAACAATGATTGATTCATGACTTCAGCGTCTAAGAATGATAATAATAATAATAATAATAATAACATAAATACACAAACGTTTTCATAACAGACTATGAGGAAAAGAAATACAATTCAGTTAAGTACATTGATGTTAATGTACAGTGTACCATATAATATACACAGGTATATCTTCTATCTTAACTAGGTTCAATCATCATCCCATCAAAATGATTAATGATTGAAAATGAGCGAGAGACAGAGAGATAGAGTGATTGTATAAATACCAAAAGAAACAAGGTAAAATTAATCATTTCTCTCCTCTTCCATATGCTTATTAGGCATTATGACACACACACACACACACACGGAGACACACAAAAAGAAAGAGAGATGAAGTATGTATTCTAAAGGGGGGGACTAATCATAAATTACATTTTCTTTTATTTTATTCATAACATAAAACTCATTATCATCATTAAAAACAGTTTTTTGACAGTTTTTTCTATTGATTTTACATTTAAAAAGTACAGTTACATTGTGTAGACCAAGATGGCATACAGATGTGCTGAATATAATACTGATTTATGCATATATAAGTAGTATATATTCTTAGTTGAAAATTTTAAACAATCAGTAATCATAGACATACACAAAATTAATATTTTTTTGGTGAATACTATTCAGTTTCTACACTTAGTCACCATTGTCTGTCAGGGAGACACAAATATTCAGTGTAGTTTAGTTTGGAAATGTTAAATGATCAAGAACATCAGTAGTATAGTAAGTAGAGTAAGAACAAAGGAAAATAAAACGTGACAGTTAAAAATTGACAGTTAAAAAATTCTTCTGGAAATTACAAACGAATCATAATGAAGTATGCATTAAATAAATTTTTAATACAAATGTCAAGACAGTTCTAATGTATGGAAAACTACCAAAGCCATCATTCACATAATACAAGTTAGTATTTATTAACAGTTATCTATGCAAAATACTTCGGATCCATTAGTCAGATACTATCAACAACAACCTACTGTGAGAGAAAACAAGACAGATTTTAACGGCGGAAGAAATTAGGAAGAAGTGCTAGAAGTGGATAAGACATACATTACGGAAAGTAACCACAAATGCGTCACAAAACGAGCCCTCACTTGGAACCCTTAAGACTATCGAAAAAGAGAATCGGAGACTGACATGAAAAGAATAAACAACGATTGGACAGAACTAGTAAGGGAGGTTGGGGATAGGATAGAGTAGTTTGAAGGATACTAGTCGGCGACTTATGCTCTCTACTGGGGGTAACAGGCGTAAGGCACTAAATAAATAACTTTGAATCTAACTAAAAAATGATATGGATAAACTTTAATTATTCATAGAATTATTTTCAAAAATGTTCGTGTGTTAACAAAAAGGATACGACAAAGTGTTAATAGAGTTCCATGTTGTGATGACAGAGAGATATTTTTTTAGTCAGTTCGTAAGTTATGAGTTCGAACACTGAATGCCTAAACAACACACGTGCAACGAGAAGCCAGTAAGTAGGATTTGATTGTCAGTCATGCAACGTTGTGTGGGAATTTCAGCAGCTAGAGTTAAGCCATACACCAAGTCATTTTGTGAGCCTGAACAATCATAGTGTCATTCACTTTACTATAGCTCTTGACAGACATAGTCAGTTACAATGTAGAACTTCGTACTAAGTATATTAGTTCATGTTGCAATTGTCAATTCAAATCCCAAAGTGGTAGAGATAGCAGAATAATTACTGCTAATGGAGAAGATTAGGATATGAAGATAATATTCAAGAAGTATGGTTGAGTGAGATAAGTTTAGAAGGACAAAGGTAGAGAGAGGTGCTGACGATTCCAGAAGATTAGGACAGACAAAGTAAACCGAAAGTCATAGCATTCTGCAGGTTAGGTACCCTTTCACGTATCTGATTCAGGTGAAAATCTAATCATAAGTTATAACCCAATAATTAATTAATATACTTCAGTGTCACAAAAAACAAACGTGTTTATAACAGTTAGTAAATCGATAAAATCTTGCACATTTTACGCTTATCCATGAATTTAGTACAGGCTGTTAGATAAGACTAACTTAAGATTTTATCAATCGACTACAACAAATACTTTTATTACTAGTGATACCTGACAAACAAATCAATAAGTTTAGTTAAAATTGGTTTTATGAAGATGATTGATTCATTGTTTCAGGTTCTAACGAATACACCAAACCGGTAGATGCTACCTTAACATGATGGTCAGTCTTGCCTATCGGGATGACCCAACCGGCTGCGACATATGTTCCTGTAGGTCCTGTCCTGCCAGTAATCGGAGAGGTTAGGATTAGAAGATATTATTCAAGAAGTATGATTCAGTGAGATAAGTTTAGAAAGAAAAAACTAGAGGAGTTGAGAAATCCAGAAGATTGGGATTTGAGATAACACAGAGAATAAATGCACCGGCGCCATTGCAAACGATTTTGAGCCACGTCATTCAGGGTATCTAACCATCGATTACTGACATCTGGTGGACCCCAACCAGGTAGTCGACAATTACCGACATGGCTAATTCCACTTGTCAATGACTTCATGGATTTCTGGCACGTTTTGGTTTGGCCGCCCCTAGCTTTCTTCCAACCTACTCATACACCACAAAACATAGCTCGTCGAGGCAGTCGGTGGTTAGGCATAAGTAACACATGTCCCAACTACCTCAACTGATGAAGTTTCATTACTTCGTCTATTGATCTGCCATTCTTACCTAGCACCCGTTTCCTAAAAACAGCGTTGCTCACTCGGGTGTCCCACGATAAACGAGCAATGCTTCGAAGACACCTATGATCGAAAACCAATAACCGACGAATATCTTTTACTCTCACTGGCCATGTTTCACAGCCATAAAATAAGACGGAGCGAACTACTGCGCAGTACACTCGTCCTTTAGTCAGCAAACTAGTTCCAGTATAGGATATAATGTGCGCCTTGAATTTCACTGCTAACCACTATCTATCTACGTTAGTCAGTCAGTCAGTCAGTTACAATGTAGAACTTCGTATGTAAGTACATCAGTTCAGGTCGCCATAACCCACATTAGCACAGAGATGCGATTATCCATTCAAATCCTATAGTGGTAGGAGGTAGCAGAAGTATTAACAGTAATCGGAGAGATTACGATTCAAAGATGTTGTGAAATAAATTTAATAAAGAGAAAGATAAAAGTGATGATGAATGTTAGAAGATTAGAATTCGAGAGAAGACAAAGAATGGATGCACATGCGCCATTGCAAACGATTTTCAGACTGAAATCATGAACTGAAAAATGTTAAACCATTATTAGAAATCTGGAAACTGGTCAGAAGTGCATATCTATGAAGGCACACTAGGAGTTTCGGTTTCGCATACCAATATCTAACACCTACACCACTCAGCTGGCATCCAACGATGCTAATAGCTAACTCCAATCAATCCATAATATCGCGTAACTTTCATCGATTGTTTTTAATGAGTAACTGCCTCATACCCGATATGGTTGATCACTAGAATGTCGAGAATCCTTTCGCAAAACAAGTCATTAGTGAGCAGCGCACAATGATGGTATCGCAATATCATGGAGTTAGACATATACATCATAGGATGCCAGCTTATTGAACAAGACGTCAAGCATTCCTGTACCAGCCCAAAAGTCATGAGTTCGATCCCCCAATGCAGGAGCAAAATGGCCACCAAATTTCTTCCAATGCTGGTGAGGGTCTAACACTGACTGGTTCATGACAATATATAATAATCATAACAATTGTTCATAAAGCTTACTTGTTTCAATTCTTCATTGCCTGTTTCCAATTGAGCTAACAATGCTTCTAAATTGGCTAGACGTCGACAAATAAACGCTTTATTCTCTGGTGCTGCATAAGTTAAATTTGTTAAAGCCATACAAATGTAACGTCTCAAGGCTAAACTATTCTCTAATAATGTTGTAGTGAAATGCTGATTATTTGTTATGAATGATGCTGCTGATGATGATGATGGTGGTGCCGTTTTATTCCCCACAGTATCTGCTGACGGCGACGGCGGCAACGACGCCAATGACCAGATCATTTGTTCTATGCGTAATAACGATATCAATGCGTGAACTCCACCTAAATGGGAATGAAGATAAAAATGTGAACAAAAGATATAAAAGAAAGCAATGGTAAACTGATTTCAATAAGTATATCAGTCAATTGAAAATTGTAATTGATACAGACAGGAAACTTGGAGAACTACGAAAGGCATCATCCAGAAGATACAAGTGTTTATTAACAGTTGTCTACGCAAAATACTTCGGATTCGTTGGCCAGACACCATCAGCAACAACGAACTGTGGGAGAGAACAAACCAGATTTCAGTGGAGGAAGAAGTCAAGAAGAAGCGGTGGATAGGACACACACTACGAAAAGCACCTAACTGCGTCACAAGACGAGCCCTCACATGGAACCCTCAAGGTAAAAGGAATAGAGGAAGACCAAGGAACACATTACGCCGAGAAATAGAGAAAGATATGAAAGGAATGAACAAACATTGGACAGAACTGGAGAAGGAAGCCCAGGACGGGAGTTGGTTGGAGAAAACTGGTGGGCGGCCTATGCTCCATCGGGGGTAACAGGCGTAAGTAAGTAAGTAATTGATACAGAGTTTAGTCCACAATTTCTTATAACTTGGAAATTATAAGTAGATATCAAAATAATGAATAGCAGTAGACGGGGAGAAGAATTGGTTGGAGAATACGAGTCGGCAGTCTATACTCTCTACGAGGGGTAATAAACAGATTTCAGTATGTAATTTCTCATACAGTATATCAGGAAACGGTGGATTTGATGCAGATGTGAAGGCGTGCATCGGCAAAGCAAAGGCTGCATTCTTACAATTGAACAACATCTCAAACACAAGACAACAATCGATCAACATCAAAGTCAAAATTTTCAATACGAACGGTCAAGATAGTGCTACTGTATGGGGCGGGAAGTTGGAGAACTACGAAAGTCATCATCAAGAAGATACAAGTGTTTATTAACAGTTGTCTAGGCAAAATAGGTCGGATTAGTTGTCGAGACACCAACAGCAACAATATACTGCTGGAGAGAACAAGCCAGATTCCAGTTGAAGAAGAAATTAGAAAAAGACGCTGAAGGTCAATAGGATGCACACTGAGGGAATCCTTCAACTGAGTCACAAGACAGGCCCTAATCTGTAATCCGCAACGCCAACGCGAAAGAGGAAGACCAAGGAACACTTTACGCCGAGAAATGGAGACAGACATGAGAAGAATCAACAGCGATCGGACAGAATTATAAAAGAAGGGTTGGAACAGAGTTGGTTGTAGAATCCTAGTCGGTAGTTTATGCATGACGATGGTCTATGCTCTATTAGGTGTAACAATCATAAGTACTTGTAGGTTGATGCGAATCTCTAGTAAAGCTGTAGATGATCAAATCCAATCTGTTATGGCACTGAAAACAACATCTAGTATAACCTTCATACAGCAAAAGAATGTGTAATGTGTACTAATATTACTGAGCCATATGGTTTATCCGAGCTTTTGGACAAACTCATTAACATATTCAACTCAAGACATTATACACGTTTTTTTTAACCTTGCCAACCACCATTCATTGATAACTTTGGTTCTTTTTTGTTTTACTTGAGTGTATGTATGTGTGTGTGCATCGTTTACTACGTTTATAATTACATTTCATTAACTTATTATTGTCTGACAATCAATACTTAATTATGCCTCACGTCGCAGTGAATTGGCTCACTCGCCTTCTTCGCTTTGCTTATGCTTCTCTTTACTGTCTGTTTGCTTACCACATAGGCGGGTGCGACAACAGTCGGGTGTTTTTCCTTGGACAATCAGCATCTGCAGTGATGCTGCAATAAGTAAGAGTCTACAAATTATTTTCACCGATCTAGAGACAGTGGATTGAGTTACTTTAAAAATCAGTCAGTTACAACGTAGAACTTCGTACATGAGTATATAAGTTCAGGTTGCCATAGCGCATCAGCACAGAGACGCAACTGTCAGTTCAAATCCCATAACAGTAGAGATAGTATAAGTATTAGCAGTAATGGAGTAGATTAGGGTTCGAAGATATGATTCGAGAAGTATGATTCAGTGAAACAGACTGTTTGGGATGTTAGATCACCAAAACTCGCTTGATAAATGCCTTATTTTGGATTTCACGTTTGCGAGCATGGGTTGATCAGTTGACTTCGAGATGTCATTTCCCACGAGGAAAATTCGTGGCTGTGATTGGCTGCTGTATATTTTAGTGTGCTATTTTCTTAACTGTTCCAAGGACGCTTCTATGATGTATAAATAAATGAGAGTTGTGTGCTTGATTGTGTTGTGATTCCTGGGTGTTTGTAGAATATACTTCTACGCTTACAAAGCCTTCTGTCTTCAGCATGGGATTCAATGTAGCCTATCTGGACGCTGGTAATTGTCTCGTTCGCGTTTATCGACTAAGGTGAACTCGAAATAGCTTCAAGCGTACCAAGTGACGAGCGTAACACAGATTTAGATAGAGAAAGAAAGAGATGATGAGGCTACTTTAATATGGTTCAATTTTCTTTGAGTTCGACAACGACAATTGACGCACACCATAAAAACACTCGATAACTGAACATGACAAGAAGAAAACGATTTGCAAGAAACTTGATATTCAAGGAGAAGACAAGCAATGCCAAATGAAGTTTCTGCAACTTTCATGATGTCAAGATACGAGAGAAAATCTTCAATCATAGAGGAAATTAGCAAACCAAAAAAAACGAGCGAGCAATAGCCTTTTCGAAAAGAATTTCAGCCCTATAAATAAAACTGAATTTTCCTTGTGATTTTCGACATAGCATAAAGACATCTACTTCAAGTTAGTTGATCGAACTAATCAAATCATTAGTTATTTTCGAAATGATTTAAGAAAAAGTTCTTGAAACTTCAAGTGGATGTTAGTCAGTCAGTTATAATGTAAAACTTCGTACGTGCGTACATCACAGTTCAAGTTACCGTAACACATTAGCACAGAGATGTAATTGTCACTTCGAATCCCATAGTAGAAGTATTAGTACTAATCGGAGAAATTAGGGTTCGAGGATGTTTTTCAAGAAGTGGAATCTAGCACTCGTTTGCAATGGAGCAAGTGCATCAATTCTTTGTATTCTCTCAAATACTAACCTTCTGAATTCCTCATCATCTTGATCTTTCTCCTTCTAACTTTATTATACTTCTAGAATCATTTTTTCGAACCCTAACCTTCTCTATTACTGCTAATACTTCTACTATCGCTACCACTATGTGATTTGAACTGACATTTGTGTCTCTGTGCTAATGCAGTATGGCAACATGAACTGATGTATTTACGTACAAAGTTTTGCATTGTATTTGTCTGTCTGTTTGTCAGAATCGAATGAAACAAATTTAAAAAGAAAAAGACAGGACTGGTGAGGAGTTTCTTTCTTTCAACTTAATTGATTGAACCGGGAAGATTTTATTGTTGCGTTCAACAACATTACTATAATGTCTCTCTTAGGCTTACCTCTCTCTAAGAAAAAATGCTCTCACATGGCCATATGTATAAAGCCACTAACAGACAATTCCTATTCAATAAGCAGCTCTCATCAAGAGAGTGCTGTTTATCAGATTTATGAGAAAGAAAAGAGAATGTTTAGACAAGGCTTTAACTGTGTCGGTGGGTGAAGGAGGATACACTTAGAAGAGTTTGAAAACCCTGGCTTCACGATCATGAGGAAACAGATGGTGTGTGAATCTATTGTTAGGTCAGTGGCTCCTAACGTTGCTCTATATTTTGCCTTACAAAATTGTATCTGTAGGTCAAAGGCAAGGAGAGCGATATCTCTCCTAAGTAAACCAGCTGTCTCAGTTTAGACATCTAAGTAGTATTTCAGATCAATCACAAATTTAATAAGCTGTGTGTGGCGCATAAATATTTGGATGCTTCTTTGAGCTAAGAACTGTGTTTAGTAATAATAATAATAATAATAATAATAATAATAATAATAATAATAATAATAATAATAGTAATAATAATAATAATAATTATTATTATTATTATTATGTGATAGGATGGATCCATGTTAAAATTTCAATTTTACAGTGAATTACCAAAAAACAACCACAAGAATCAAATAGCTGCTAATTATGAAAAGCAATTCAGAACGTAAACACTTGTAGTGTACTTTAAAAGTATCCAAGTACACAACGCTGAATTCAATGCGATCATCATGTGACTGACTGAGTTAGGAAATGCAATGCAGTAGTAGTATGTATGTAGTAGTAGTAGTAATGTGAGTCGTATGAGTAGTAGTGTGAGTATTAGTAGTAGTATGAGTAGTATGAGTAGAAGTGCGAGTAGTAGTAGTAGTCAGAGTAGTAGTATTAGTAGTAATTGTAGTATTCACTAACTGTGAATAAACACCAAAATGAAACATTAAAGAAACTATTAAACGCATAAATAATCTGTATTCTTTCTTTGTTGTTGATATTGAAAACAAACCTACCTAATTCACAAATAGCATTACGATGTAATGAATCAAATGATAGACGAACTAGAGCAGCAACCTCCGCGACTGGACAAGCACTACATAATTCAATGTTCAACATTCTACCATTGTTATTATTACTGTTATTGATACATTTCTTATTGATCCTGGCATTCTCATTATTATTATTCCCATTGGTCACAACATTCTGATGATCACGTGAGTGGCGGAGCAGTTGTGTCATAGATTCGTTTAGATTCAATGTATAACGATGAATGGAAGTTAATAATTGAACAATGCCCATATCTCTTTCATACAAATTCGGATCTGGTTGACATAATGGCACAAGTTTATGAATTGCCTGAAAATGTAGAATTAAACAGAAAAAGAAAACGAATGTATATACATATGAAAGAATATTATTACATAATACTGTAACGCATTGCACGTAAACATGTCATTTTGATATGCTTGAACTGTTACGAGTTTACCTTAGTGGGGAAACCAGAGCGAGGACCGAGGATCCATTGACATGACAGGCTACTCAAATCCGATCGTCACAAACCCTCATTGAGTAAAAGAAGAAGACTTGATATGAAGTAGAACCTGTATTCTAGAAGCATCTAGAAAGTTCGAGGTCCGAGTCCAGAAGAGGATGAAGATCCCGCATCAGGGAGCTGGGTTATAAGACGTTACAGATAATGCGTGTTTATACAGTTAGGTAGAATAGGAAACAACATTGGATTACGTGACATTGATAGCTAGGACAACCATAATATTGACCGGTAAGAATTGACCAATACGAGTCTGTCAGCTGACCTCCGTGCACTATTTGGTAGTTTAATCCATCACAAGAACACCGTATGATATGCACTATCTTCCCAGACACTCTGTAGTTTCGAAGAAGCCTCCATAGTGTCATCCTGTCCACGCTATCAAATGCTTTCTCGTGGTCAATGAAGTTCATGTAGAGTAGTGAGTGCCATTCAATTGATTGTTCCATAACGATGCTTAGTGTTGTATTTTAATTGGTAAACGATCGATCCTTACGAAATCCAGCCTGTTGATCGCCAATATGGGTGTCTACAAAGTCTTTCATTCGGTTTAACAATACCCTATTGAAGACTTTGCTTGGTATTGAGAGAAGAATGATGCCTCTGTAGTACTCACACTTACCCGAAAGTCACCGATGGTTAGAGATCTTGAACGACATGGCTCAGAACCGTTTGCAATAGCGCAGGTGCATCCACTCTTTGTGTTCTCTCTAATTCGAATCTTCTGAATTCTTCATAATCTCTATCTTTATCCTTCTAAATTTATCTCACTGAATTTATACTTCACTCCTTAATCTTCTGCATTACTACTAATAATTCTACTATCGCTAACACTCCTGGATTTGAACTGACAGTTACGTTTCTGTGCTGATATGGTATGGCAACCTGAACTGATGTACTTACGTACGAAGTTCTGCGTTGTATCTGTCTGTCTGTCTCACACTTACCGAGATCGCCCTTCTTTGGTATTTTGATCAGGTATCCTTCTTTCCAGTCTGTTGGTACTTAATCTTTATCCTGATATGATCTACTACTCCTATTTTATTGATAGTTTATTACCTAAATTTGCTCCTTGTACTCACAGACACTTTGAGTTCATTCAGCGTGTATAACTGTTGTTTTCCGTTTATTGATGTGATGATGTTCAGTTTTTTATGTAAATATACATAAGGAAATGTCTGAAATATAGTAACGAATTTTAGACTGATAGTGACTGATCTTGTGTTTTCCCTTAGCAGTTGAAGTAAATTATTATTATTGCACTGTCCATCAAGAACATAGAATGGGCATTCTCTTTCGTTCTTAGTTTGTGTATCAGCGCGTATTGGTCCCTGTAGGGATACATAAAACAAAAACGTCATACAATTGTGGTGGTGGTGGTGTTTGGTTCTCTGAGCCAGGGATGTTTTGGTTGTGGAGCTTTCATTGTTGTTCTTCTACTGAACAACATCATCAGTAGCACAAACTTCAGGTAGAAGAAGTGAAGCATTCGAATTTCTCCACGCGTTTGACCTGTAGCTTGTTCTGCTGCTAACCTCGATCTTGATTGGTTGCTGTTGACCTTAAACCTGTCGTTTAGATTGCTGTGCATAACATAGAAAGAGGATGTTTCGTGTATATAACCAACATCTCTTGAGATTATGTTAATACGGCTTCAATGAAGGATTGTTGTGATTCTCTTAATTCTACACGTACAAAAAACACAGTTTTATATTGTTCTTTGTTTTACTGATTGTTACAAGTTCAATATACAATTTTGTGTGTGCGTGTGTGTGTGTGTGTCTAAGTAAGTAGTACCAGAAATGTATACACATAAACACATACACACACAACATCATTGTAGAAAGTGATTGACTGATTGAACCACTCTACTGAGCAAAGATGACCTCTTCCTAATATTATCAATTGAAATGATGTGAAGTAAAATAGATTGGTACAGTTTTTGTTTCCCAATGTCCTTAAAAAAGTATTTATACATACAACTTTTATCGATTCGATTCAACTGGTAATATGACCAAGTATATTTTATGTGTACACATACATAAATGTAGTATGTACAGACAGACATAGAGGTTATATTATATCAATTAGTTAGTATTGAGGGAATGAATAAAAAATGATTGATTTTCACGAACTGATATTAGCTAGACCAACATATTTGAAATCTGGAAACAATGAATGGCCGTCTTGTGTTAGTATGGGTGGGGTTCCTCAGCAGTGAGTGTTTTCCAACTTCACAAGAGGGAATTGGACGCACGACCTTCGATCTCGAATGGTGTAAAAAAGTAACTTTATACAATTCATGACTAATTTATTATGTAACAGTCGGTCAGCCGGCTACAATGTAGAACTTCGTACGTAAGCACATCAATTCAAGTTACTATACCAAATGAATAAGGACAGAAGACATTGTGGTAGAAACTCCGAAGTAGAACCTTAGGGGCTACTGCCGATCCCAAGCCCGGATAAAGGAGGAGGGTTGGACATGGGGTTGACGACCCCATTCCGTCGAAATCTAACTTGCCAAAAAAACCGGCCTATGCTCCAGTGGGGGTAACAGGCTTAAGTAAGTAAGTAAGTAAGTACATTGTGGTAGAGGTTGTAGCAATATTACCGGTAATTAAAAAGATTATGAATCGAAGATGAAATTCGAAAAATAAATATAAAATGATTAAAACGAACGAGATGAATTGAGAAGATTAGAATTCGTGAAAATACAAAATGATTGCTCCTGCGTCATCGTAACCGACTTGAAGGCACATCATTCAAAGTGTCTAACTATCGGTTATAAATTTCCCGCTGACTCCAACAAGATAATTTTCTTCTTCTAGCATGACTCAGTCTCTCAGTCTTCTTCCAACCTGGTCCTACAGAGCAGAACGTAGCTCGACGAGGCAGTGGATGCTTAGGCAAACACGCAACACATGTCCCAACCGTCTCAACTGATGAAGTTCCCAAACTTCAACTATTAATCTGCCATTCTTACATAATATCTGTTTCTTAACAACAGCATTACTTACTCGGTTGTCGAAGGATATACAAACAATCTTTCTAAGACACCTATGATGGCTCAAGACTTTGAATAGTATCGCTCAAAATCGCTTGCAATGGGCACCGATGCAGCCCTTTTTTTGTCTTCACTCAAATTATAACCTCTGGAGTTCCTCATAACCGTTTTTTTCTCTTTCTAAATTTATTCCACTGGATGATATTTTTTGAATGATATCTTTGAACCCTAATCTTTTCCATTACCACTAATACATCTACTACCTTTACTACTATAGAATTAGAACTGACAATTGCGTCTCTGTGCTATTGTGACGAAACGGCAACTTGAACTAATGTACGAACTTAAGAAGTTCTACGTTCTTATTGGCTGATCTTATCCACACCAAAAAAATAAAACAAAGTTATGATCACATTTACTGATGATGACAAAAGAGACGGTTCATAATTTGTTGAGACAAACTAAATACTAAAGATTCTTCAGTCGGTTAGTTGCAACGTAGAACTTCGTACGTATGTACATAAGTTCAGGTTCCCGTACCATATTAGCACAGAGACGTAAATGTCAGTTCAAATCACATAGTGACCGCAGAACCCAAGGGACAACTGCTTGAGGCCGGTCACGCATGGCCTTTTTATGAAGGGTTTTTTGAGTTTTAGCTCCGCTCTTGAAAGCCCTTAGTGGGCACCCTTACCCAAGGAGACGGAAATCCGTGAAGTAGGGTGAGGTGTGACATTTTTAGGTTCGGCCTTTTCTAACCCTTCCTTCTTTGTGAGAAGGCAGCATCGCTGCAGATGCTGGTTGTCCGAGGGAAACACCTTACTTCTGTCACACCCCTCTTCAGTCAGTCAGCAGTACGACTTCGCCCTCAGACCTTGAGTGGCTGCTTTTAGTCTGATCGTTCTCCAATCGACCTGCCTAGCATGGTAGACCCTTCAGGAACATATGTTCCAGCCAGTATAGCTCAGTTGGGTCATCACGATAGGCAAGCCCGACCACCACGTCAAGGTAGCAGCTACGGTCGGGACTAAAGATTCCTAGGTGAAATATAACAAAAAAACGTATACAATGTAGTCCCATCAGAATTCTTTACAACCGTTTATCTTCGATTTTTTTTTAACTTTTCAATGACCACTACTAATACCGTGACTATATTTTCTTACTAAGGGATTTGGCCTCAAACGTTTCATTTCATATTTCTCTATGCTAATGTTCTCCTCCTATGGTACTAACTTGAATTGATATGAATACGCATCAAGTTCTACACTGAAACTGATTGAATCCAATTAGTAATCAGTAATCGACTTCACTTATCATTTTACACTGACAAGTTGATACTGTCTATTATACTAACCTCCATTCATAAAAGAGAAATGTCATACATGCAATAATTAGTCCAGCGCTATTACTACAGGCGCTTCTGAATATGAACATGATTAGTGCCAGGGCTGAAATATCTACCAAGTGTCGGTTGTTCTGAAGTGTTCATACTTAGCTTTGTAAGAAAGTTCACAATCCAACCCTATCTTTATTACAACTCAACTACTAATTGCAAGTTACAGATCTGTATATTTCGCTTGTCAAGTGAAATGAAACTAAAATTCTTCATTGAAATTTAAAAACCGATCTAGTGTGAGCCTCCTCCTCAACAATGCGCATCCACGACTCCGCAATCATTTAAAGACGAAACGATTATTCAGTAATTCTTGATTTTTAGTGGCTATCTGATTTAGATCAGTTTATGGTTTCAGTGAGGCTTAACAATCTCTACAACCAGTCAGTCAGTTACAACGTAGAACTTTGTACGTACGTGCATCAGTTCAAGTTACCATACCATAAAACCCGACCGTAGCTGCTACTTTAACGTGGTGGTCGTGCATGCCTAACGTGATCACACAACCGAGCTATATAGCCTGGAACATATGTTCCTGTAGGTTCGACTATGCCAGGCAGGTTGATTGGAGAACGATGAGACTAAAAGCAGCAACTCAAGATCAGAGGGCGAAGTCGTACTGCTGACGATAGAGGGTGTAACAGCAGTACCGGACAACCAGTATATGCAGAGATGCTGTTTTCTTACAATGGAGGGAAGGGGTTAGAAAAGGTCAACCCAAATAATGTCACACCTCACCTAACCTCACGGATTTCCGTTTCCGGTGGTAAGGCGTTTTAAACAAAGGCGGAGCTAATACTTCTCACAACAAAGCCATGTGACCGACCCTCAAGCAGTTGTCCCTTAGGCTCTGCGATTACATTCCCAGGTCTCTAAGACCAACGCTAATCCACCTTTCTTTTCAAGTTCCCCAAGAAGTGGGCAGCAGAGCAGTGATCTCCGCTTTCATACCCGTAAAAGCATATGACACCGAATCGGTCACAATCAAATCTCTACGACCAAAATACTAACTACTAAAGTTCTGTGAAAGAATAGTTCTTATTCAGAAAGAGAAAAAAAAATGCCATTTTCATTCTCTAAACAACAAAAATAAAACACGTACCTCCATAGCAGCAAGTTTTAATTCCATTAAAGATGTATTCGGTGGTAGAATTTTGGAATCAGTTAAATTACCGTGATTGAAATTATTCCCATTACTATGAAGAATGTTACTGTCGACGCTGGCAGTGGTTGATATATTTGTTAGACAAGATGATGATTTTTTCTCCAATGTATTCTTCTCACTTTTTGTCCAACCATTTTGTTGTCTACATGAATAAACTGAACAGAAAAAAAACGCTGTTTTAAACAAAAATGAAGATAATCAAAGAGGAAAAATCAATTTTTTTTCGCCAAAAAAATAAACATTTCTTCTAGCCAATCAAATCGTAAAACATGAATAACATGTTGTAATACAACTACTCATGATTAGGTAGGTACCACAGTGAATCATGTGATTAATTTGAATTACTAATTAGTTGTTCTGTCAGTCATACAGTCAGCTTACAACCTACACCCACCTACAACATCGTACGTACGTACGTACATTAGTTCAAAAGTTGCCATAACATTTTTGCGCACAGAGATGCAATTGTCAACTCGAATCCCATGGTGATAGATGTAGTAGAAGTATTAGAGGTAATGAAGAAGAAGACTAGGGTTCAAAGAAATCATTCAAGAAGTATAGATAAGCCAGTGAAGATAAGAATTTGAGAGAAGACAATGAATGAATGCACCTGCGCCATTGCATACGAATTTGAACCGGGTAAGAAGGATTTGATTTTGACCAATTTGGTCTCGTGTGCTGTTACGGGTATGAGGGCGGTTGTCACTTCCCGGTTGCCCACACTGTGGAAGGTTGTTTCGTGAGGGACCTGAAAAGGAAGATAGATTACTGTTGGTCTTAGAGACCTGGGTGAGTGATCGCAGAGTCCAAGGGACAACTGCTTGAGGCCGGTCACGCACGGCCTTTTTCTGAAAGGTTTTCTGAGTATTGGCTCCGCTCTTAAAGGCCCTTAGTGGGCACTCTTACCGCCGGAGACGGAACTCCGTGAAGTAGGGTGAGGTGTGACAGATTTAGTGTCGACCTTTTCTAACCCTTACTTCCTTGTGAGAAGGCAGCAACGCTAAAGATGCTGGTTGTCCAAGGGAAACACCTTACTGCTGCCACCCCCCCCTCTACAGTCAGCAGTAAGACTTCGCCTTCAAATCGTTTACTATCATCTCGCGGACCACAACCATGCAGTCAACATTTTTTAACATGACTCTGTCCAGTTGTCAGTGACTTCATAGATTCGTGCCATGTTTCGACTTGGCCGCCCCTAGCTTTCTTCCAAACTATTCCTCCTACACCATAAAACAGAGCTTGCCAATGCATTCAGTGGTTTGGCATATGCAACAACACATCCCCAAAATTAGCTGTGTGTGAGGATGGTTTAATCAATAAACTACTACTCTTGAACAAAATGATAAATAATAACATTATTTAGTCTTAACTCGGATAAGTCTGTTAAAGGTACACAAGATTTGTGTTTTATTCAGACAAAGACTAAAACAAATCATAATTTATGCAACTTACTTATGGACTATTGATTTCCGTAATCTTATTGCGTAAATTAATAATTCAGGTATATAAATCCCTCTCCCTTTATCATAAGCTTTCCCCATTGATCCGTAAATTATTATGATACGATTTACTGATCCTATTTGAGTATAGTATAGTAAGTCTCTCGTTCTTATTGTATATTGGTCACTTAAAGGTCATCAGCGGATTGGTTGGCGTAAAGACAGAACAATCTGGTTTACTATTCGTTCCTAATAACCTGAGACTTAACGTATAATACAACTTGTGAAAGAGCAACAGAAAAGGCGAAATGTACAAGAAGAACGCTTTACTGCAAGATCTTAAAATATACAGGAAACCCATATATAAGTGTTTAAAGTTGTCCCTTATAGCATGAAAACCATCCAATCCGTAAACAGGGATGTCACATCATCATCCAATCACCGTATGCCACATCGAAATTCTAGAAATTCCGCCCAGTTGAGATTCGGTGGAAACTCTTCGATATCTTGGGAGCCTCTCGATGCTTCCAAGAGCCATTTTGTAACGATAATCGGATAAATTCTATTTGATAAATCTACATTTTTAATGAGAAGAAATTATTGTTTAGATGTATGGTGTGAAGCTTTATCAACCCAGATGGTGACAACATGTGTTACATAACGCTAATAACCATAAACTTCGATATGTGATGTTAACTGTTGTAGGAGTGAATTGAAACGGCTAAACAATGATGACATAACATCATTCCATTAAAATTATTCATTGTTGAACTGTGAACTGTTTGGGTACACAGATAGACTATCACTTAGTTACGATTGAGATGATTATCGTAACCAATAATTGGAAATGTAGGATAAAACATGGCTGCTTAGAAATCGATTACCATCTATGGTGTTTTGTGGTGTAGGAGTAAGCTGGAAGAAAGCTGGAGGCAACCTAATCAAAACATGGCACAAATCCATAAAGTCACTGACAAGTGGACTGAGTCATGGTGGTAGGTGTTTACTACCTGATTGGAGTCCGCGGGATGATGGTAACCAACTCGTAGAGACTTTGAATGAAATGGCTCTAAACCGTTAACAATGGCGTAGATGCATCCATTGTTTGTGTTCTCTCAAATTCTAACCTTCTGAATTCCTCCTCACCATTACCTTTTTCTTTTTACGTTTATTTCACTAGATTCTACTTCTTGAATAATATCTTCGAACCCTAATCTCTTCGATCACTGATAATACTACTTCTACTGTCTCTACTACTATGCGATTTGAACTGACAATTGCGTCTCTGTGCTAATGTGGTATGGTAACTTGAACTGATGTACGCTTGTACGAAGTTCTACGTTGTAATTGACTGACTGACGCGCTAACTCCTCATCCTAATTGATTCCTTGAGTGTAAAGCCAAGAGTCGAAAAGAAAGTCTACTTGACTATCGAATTATATAACCCATATAACATACATTCCGAGATTGTGGATAACATTTGTAGCTCAGGTGGATGATTGCGGCGGTGTGTCGTTCTCAGAGCCGAGCTCATCCTTTAAAGACCAACAATATGGCATTCGTCCTTTGGAAAACATTCCTGATAGTCAGCAAATAGCCTTCACATTGGATTGATTTCATCACGTTAGAAAAAGTTTACGTGATGATGATGGTTTGTGGGGAAATTATATTGCATAACATGAACGGAAGTGATCAATTTCAGTCAGTCAAGCAATAAATAAATAAAATGTCAACACCACATTGTAACTAAGGTTGACATAGTTATTTTTAACGAAAAATTGACCCAGTAAATGGACAGACAAAGTAGAAAGAATTATAGACTTAAACTCAGTAATAAAATAAGACATGGATAATGGAAATTTTTACCAGCTGCTTCCCATGGGAAAAAAAAGCAGGCAGTTTTGACAGGTGTAGTAATATGAATTAGATTGTAATTGAAGTGAGGTATATTGGATTTATCGAACTACAGACTGAGAGACAGACAGATACAACGCAGAACTTCGTACATAAGTGCATCAGTTCAGGTTGCCATGCCCCATCAGCACACAGACGCAACTCTAAGTTCAAATCCAACAGTGATAGCAATAATAGAAGTATTAGCAGTAATGGAGAAGATTAGGGAGCGAAGATATGATTCCAGAAGTATAATTCAGTAAGATGAATTTAGAAGGAGAAAGGTAGAGATCATGAGGAATGAAGAAGCTTAGAATTTCATAGAACACAAAGAGTGGATGCACCTGCGCCATTGCAAACGATTTTGAGTCATGTCATTCAAGGTTTCTAACCATTGGTGACTTTCGTCTCGCGGACCCCAATCAGGTAGCCTACATCTACCAACATGACTCAGTGCACTTGTCAGTGACTTCGTGAATTTGTGCCATGTTTTGGTTTGTCCGCCCCTAGCTTTCTTCCAGTCTACTCCTACAGTACCCGACCGTAGCTTCTATCTTGACATGGTGGTCTGGCTTGACTATCGTGATGACCTAACCGAGCTATACTGGATGGAACATATGTTACTGAAGGTTCTACCATGCCAGGCAGATCGATTGGAGAACGATCAGACTAAAAGCAGCTACTCAAGGTCTGAGGGTGAAGTCGTACTGCTGACTGCAGAGGGGTGTGACAGCAGTAAGGTGTTTCCCTCGAATAACCAGCATCTGCAGTGATGCTGCCTTCTCACAAGGAAGTAAGGGTTAGGAAAGGTCGACCCTAAAAATGTCACACCTCACCCTACCTCACGGATTTCCGTCTCTGGCGGTAAGGGTGCCCACTAAGGGCTTTCAAGAGCGGAGCTAACACTCAAAAAACTTCTCATAAAAAGGCCGTGCGTGACCGGCCTAAAGCAGTTGTTTCTTGGACTCTGCGGTCACGCACCCAGGTCTCCAAGACTAACACTAATCTATCTTCTTTTTCAGGTCCCCCAAGAAACAACCTTCCACGGTGTGGGCAGCCGGGAAGTGACAACCGCCCTCGTGCCCGTAATAGCACACGAGACCATATTGGTCAAAATCAAATCCTTCCTACACCGCATAGAATCTCTCTTATCTCCACGACTAACACTTTTCACATTTATGGAACTAGAAGTGAATGGATTAAACTTGGCCAAAACGACTAACTGAAATTCTTTCGAAACCGTCAAGACCACATGGTTATATATAGTTGTATATTTAAAGAAGACAGTTTACTAATAAAATATATACAACTAATCTTTAGATTTCCATTTGAAAAACAAGATAATTAACTGTTTTATAGTCTTTAGGACACTTTGATCGTACCATGCATTGTGATCCGACACTCCACTGCATGCTACTTACAACCCACGTTGTGAGTAGTATCCATGCTGTGAATTATAAATTACTGCATTTTCTACTCAACTTCGACTGGAGCCCTTCTAGGGCTAATGCCTATCCCAAGCGCAGATAAAGGAGGAAGGTCGGAGGTGAGGTTAGTGACTCCATCATCCCGTAGAAAACTAACACGGTGAAAAAACACTAACCAGAAAAAATAATTCAAACCATTTAAACTCTGCTCTGGGAGTTAGGAAGGTCTTCATTTTTTAGGAAAGTTATGATGTCTCATGATGAAAGCCAAGTTCCTTCAGCAGTCACGAGACCAATATCCCTTCGGACAAAAGAGTTTGGAATAAAGGTCACCGAAACATGATTCGATGATGGCACAGAAGGTGTGCATAATTGGAATAGACCCACAATAGTGCTTACGAGACCAGATATTATAGAGCAGAAAAAACCTTGATGCCGACCAGTGATGCAAATGGGCTCTAGGATTGTGGTGGTGTTTTATTCTGTGAGCTGAATGTTTTGGTTGTGGAGCTTTCCTTGTTCTGGACAACATCCATCAGGACAAACTTCAGGGCTCCAGGATCCTGATGGAACGAATGACGTATGCACCTATTGTTGGTAACCATCTACCATGAGACTGCCCCACTGTCTTATGGGTTAGAAATTTGGGTCAGAGGATCGAGGAGTGTTCCCCTAAGTAAACCGTCTGGGTAGTATTCTAGCCCACTACTCATAAATTCACTGATTTGGATGGCGTATAAATAATTGGGTGCAACTCTGCACTGATAGGAAACTTGGATAAACACGAAAGCCATCATCCAAAAGATACAGATCTTTACCAACATTTATCTACGCAAAACACTTAGGATCCTCTAGCCAGACACCATCAGCAACTACCTAATGTGAAAAAGAGCAAACCAGATTCCAGTGGAGGCAAAAATCAGGAAGAGGCGCTAGAAGTGGATAGGACACAAATTATGGAAATTACCCGGCTGTGTGTCACAAGACAAGCTCCAACTTGGAATCCTCAAGGTCAAAGGAAAAGATGAAGATCAAAAAAACACATAACGCCGACAGTCGGAAGCAGACATGAAAAGAATGAACAATAATTAGACAGAAGGCTCAGGACAAAGTCAGTCAGTCAGTCAGATGCAACGTAGAACTTCGTACGTAAGTAAATCAGTTCAGGTTGCCATACCACATCAGCACAGAGATGTAATTGTCAATTCAAATCCAATAGTAGAAGAGATAGTAAAGGTATTAGAAGTAATCGAAGAGCTTAGAAGATATTATTCAAGAAGTATAATTCAGTGGGAAAAGTTTGCAAAGTTGAAGAATCCAGAAGATTAGGATTTGAGAGAACACAAAGAATAAATGCACCGGCGCCATTGCGAACGATTTTGAGCCATGTCATTCAACGTCTCTAACCATCGATTATTATTATTACCCCAACCAGGTAGTTGACAATTACCGACATGACTCAGTCCACTCGTCAATAACTTCATGGATTTCTGCCATGTTTTGGTTTGGCCACCCCTAACTTTCTTCCAACCTATTCCTACACTACAAAACAAAGCTCGACGAGGCAGTCGGTGGTTAGGAATACGCAGAACATGTCCCAACCACCTCAACTGATGAAATTTCATTACTTCATCAATTGATCTGCCATTCTTACCTAGCACTCGTTTCCTAATAATAGCGTCGCTCACTCGGGTGTCCCACGATATACAAGCAATGCTTCGAAGACACCTATGATCGAAAACCCGTAACCGACGAACATCTTCTACTCTCATTAGCCATGTTTCACTGCCAAAAAGCAAGACGGAGCGAACTACTGCGCACTACACTCGTCCTTTAGTCAGCAAACGGATATCTCGCCTATGCCATAAGTGACGCAGGTTGGCAAAAGACAATCGAGCTTTCTGTATCCGTGCTGAGATTTCATCAGTCACCAGGACATCAGCACTGCTCAGGACAAAGAATGCTAGTCCGCCGCCTATGCTTCACGAGGAGTAACAGGCGTAACGAAGTAAGTAAGTTAGTTGTACCAATGTTTACTTACTGAATTATATATTAAATAATTCACAAAAAAAAATGAAGAGAGATCAACGCGAAAAGGTAACAACTAACTAACTAATTCCACTTACCCGACGACTGATTGCATTCATTCGTATTCGAATGTAACAACGATGAAGGAAATCCCACATATTCATTATTATCTCCTTCTTCATCATGTTTATTACTATTATTATTATTATTACTAGTAGTAGTGGTAGTAGCATATTCTTTCCGATTAGTCACTAATGCATTCATGCAATCGCCTTCATCATCACCTTCATCATCGCCTACTTCATCTTTATCAATTTCTTTCACCAATTGATCATCGGTCACTGGTTCCTCTTCATAAACTGCATCACTATACAAAATTCTTATCAGATGTGTCAATATACGACGTGTATACTGGGCAATCGGTATAGTTGTCGCCGTCGTCGTCGGTGTTGTTGAAAGATTCGATAAACCAGTCATGTATTGATTTTGATGATAATCAGTTTTTGCTAACCAGTCCAAAAGAATTGTATGAAATGTTTGAATTTCTTCAGTAAGATGCTGAGTTTTTGTAAAATCTATCTCTGGATGATGCCATATTAATAGATTGAGTAAAGCTTCAATTACTTCTTTACGGCTATTATTATTATTATGATTATTTGTGGTGTTTATGATTACAGATTGACATGGTGGTCGGGTGGCGGTAGTGAGCATAGACGGTGACGATTGACAATTATTGCTACTACTACTATTAGTATTAGTATTATTACTACGTGATAGTGTTCTGACAGGTTGATTTGGAATTTGTTGATGTAATTGCTGCTGTCGTCGATATTCTGGCTGTTGTGGTTGTCCACGTGATACGGGACGTTTTGAAATTGATTGGTCAGTTTGAGAAGCGTCAGTAGATAAGTGATCTAAAATAATAAGAATTAATCAATAGATAATGTTATCTGACAGACAGACAGACAGACAAACAAACAGACAGACAGCTTGCCATAGAGAGACGCAATTGTCAGTTCAAATCCCATAAAGGCGGAGATCGTACAAGTATTAGCAGTCTAACAAATATATCAACTACTGCCAGGAATAATTTCAATAACTGATTCCAAAATTCTACCGCCGAATGCATCATCTTTGATGGAATTGAAACTTGCTGCCATAGAGGTATGTTTTATTTTTGTTTAGAGAATGAAAATGGCAATTCTTTTCTTTTCTGAATAAGAACTATTCTTAAACAGAACTTTAGTAGTCAGTATTTTGGTTATAGAGATTTGATAGTGACCGATTGAGTCTCATATGGTTTTACGGGTATGAGGATGAATGTCACTGCCCGGTTGCCCACACAGTGGTAGAATACTTCTTGAGGAACCTGAAAAGGAAATCGGGGTTACCCTTGATTTGATCGACCTGGGAGCGAGATCGCAGAGATCAAGAGGTAACTGCTTGAGGCCGGTCACGCACGGCCTTTTTATAAGAAGTTTGAAAAGTGTTAGCTCCACTCTTTTAAAAATGTCTTACCGCCGAAGACGGAAATCCGTGAGGTAAGGTGAGGTGTGACATTTTTAGGGTCGACTCGTTCCTTCTTCGTGAGAAGACAGTATCGCCGCAGATGGAGCGAAGATTTGATTTGAGAAGTATAATCCAATAAGATAAATTTAGAAAGTGAAAGATAGAGATGATGAGCAATTCAGAAGGTCAGAATCCGAGAGAACACAAAGAGTGGATTCACTTGCGCCATTACAAGCCATAGCCATATCACTCAAGGTCTCTGCTGGGGATGTTAGATCCCCAGAACTCTCTTGATAAATGCCTTATTTTGGATTTCACGTTTGCGACCATCGGCCGTTCAGTTGACCAGATTTCATTTCCCACCAGGAAAATCCTTGGCTGTGATTGGCTGCTGTGTATTTTAGTGTGCTATTTTCGTAACTGTTCCAAGGACGTTTCTATGATGTATAAATAAACGAGAGTTGTGTGCTTGATTGTATTGTGCTTGCTGGGTGTTTGTAGAATATACTTTCTACGCTTACCAAGACTTCTGTTTTACAGCTTGGGATTCAAAGTAGCCTATCTGGACACTGCTAATTGTCTCGTTCGCGTTTAATCTACTAAGGTGAAGGCGTAATAGCTTCAAGCGTACCTAGTGACGAACCCTACAGTCTCTAACCATCGGTTTCTATCGTTTCGCTGACGCCAACCAGGTAGCCTACATTTACCAACATGACTCAGTCTACTTGTTAGTGATTTCATGGATTTCTGCCATATTTTGGTCTGGCCGCCCCTAGCTTTCTTCCAACCTATTCCTACACTGCAAAACATAGATCGTCGAGGCAGTCGGTGGTTAGGCATTCGTAACACATGTCCCAACCACCTCAACTGATGAAGTTTCATTACTTCACCTATTGATCTGCCATCCTTACGTAGCACACGCTTCCTAACGACAACATTGCTTACTCGGTTGTCCCACGGTATATGAGCAATGCTTCTTAAAAATCTATGATCGAATACTAGTAACCTACGAACATCTTCTACTCTTAACGGCCATGTTTCACAGCCATATAGGAGAACGGAGCGAACTGCTGTGCAGTACACCCGTCCTTTGGTCAGCGAGCGGATATGTCGCCTACGCCATAAGTGACGCAGGTTGGCAAAAGCCAATCGAGCCTTCTGTATCCGAGCTGAGATTTCGTCAGTCACCAGGCTATCAGCACTAATGAAACTCCCCAGATAAGTGTAGCGATCAACACGCTCGACTACTCCACTTCCTATCACTAGTTCAGGTGCCGATGCAACCCAGTCTTGAAGCAACATTTTTCATTTCGAGGGTGAGAACCGCATTCCGAACATGCTCGCATTGTGGCTTAAGGTGGTCAAAAGACTCTGCATTTTGTCAGCGTCTTCACCGAATTGAACTATGTGATGGGAATATTCTAAGTCGATAAGCGAGCCACCTGGTAATATGTCTACTCCTGAAAATTCAGACGAGGATAAGGTTATTTCTAGGAGCATGTCTATGATAAAATTAAACAAGAATGGAGAAAGTGGACAGCCCTGACGGACACCACTTGAAGTAAAGAATTCCGGTGACAGTTCGCCATAAGCTCTCACCCGACCAGTGGTGTTCGAGTAGAGAGCTTGTATGAGGTTAATGTACTTCTTTGGTACACCTTTCATGTACAGACACTGCCACAGAACCTCACGATCCATTGAGTCGAATGCCGCTTTTAGGTCCAGGAACACAACTATTGTCGGACGTCTAAATGTGTGTCTGTGTTCCAGGACCTGTCGTAGTGTGAAAATGTGGTCTATACAACCACGTCTGAGGCGAAAACTAGACTGGTTTTCTCGAGTCTGCTCTTCACGAGCTCTAGTAAGACGTCTAAGTATAATCGAGACTTATTCCTCTGTGATTATCACAAGAGGACTTTTGTTCTTTCTTGTAGATTGGGACAATTAGCGACTGAGACCAGTCAGATGGGATTACGTCCAGTTCCCAGATTCTACCTAAGATCTCGGTCAGTCTAACTGTTAAAACTGGACCACTATCCTTAAACATCTCAGGGGTAAGTCTATCAGGACCTGCTGCTCTACCTCCCTTTTGATTTCCTATCGCCTTCTCAACTTCATGTAGACTGGGAGGACTTAAATCGACTTGCCATTTAGGATGACTGGGGATCGTGGGCAACCGAACTACATCTGCTTGATAAATAATGAATTTTGTGGAATCTGGCTAGGGATTTCTGGATTAAAAATCTGAGTAGAAAGAAATAAGCTATCAATTTACAGATCAATAAGGATTTAAACCTGACTCAGGACTACTGGTGCTATGAACGTAACTCTGATTGGTGTTTTGTATATGTCACGTGATACTGGGTAAACAATCAGAGATACAACGTATATATATATAAATTAATTATATCAATAAATAAAGATAAACTCATACAACTAACTGACTTGATAGATTATTAAAGTTTGATTGTGAATTCGTCCCAACGAAACTATTCGAAATTGGTGAAAATGTATTATCATAAGCATGACAAGATTTCTGGGTTGTAGTAGAATTTTCATCAGAGTGCGGCGCGTTCCCTTTGAGTTGAGAGTATGTAGATGGTGATTTATGATTATACTGACCATTATAATATGGTAGATTTGTTGTATGACAACCATTCATTGTAGGTGTTGAAACGGATATTTTACCAATCCAACTACCACTACGAGGCGGCGGTGGTGGTGGCGGTGGTCGAGGACGCTTAGAAGGTTGACGATTGACATTGGAAGGATCACTAGAAAATCAGTGAAAAAAGGAAAATATAAACCAATGAAATAACTGTCAATTTGAACAAATGAACTGAGTCATGTTGGTAAGTTTAGACTACCACCTGGTTGGGGTTCGCGAAATGATAGTAATCGATAGTTGGAGACAGACAGATACAATGGAGAACTTCGTACATAAGTATATCAGTTCAGGTTGCCATGCCCCATCAGTACACAGACGCAACTCTAAGTTCAAATCCAAGAGTGTTAGCGATAGTGGAAGTATTAGCAGTAATGGAGAAGATTAGGGAGCGAAGATATGATTCCAGAAGTATAATTCAGTAAGATAAATTTAGAAGGAGAAAGGTAGAGATTATGAGGAATGAAGAAGCTTAGAATTTCATAGAACACAAAGAGTGGCTGCACTTGCGCCATTGCAAATGATTCTGAGCCATGTCGTTCAATGTCTCTAACCATTGGTGACTTTCGTCTCGCGGACGCCAACCAGGTAGCCTACATCTACTAACATGTTAGAGACCTTCAATGAGATGACTTAAAATCGTTGGCAAGGGTGTTCTGTCAAATCTTAATCTTCTGAATTCCTCATCACCTCTTTTTTATATTTATTTCAAAAGATTATACTTTTAGAATAATATCTTCGAACCCTAATCTTTCCGATTACTACTCATACTCCTACTGTGATGCGCGCTACTTATAAGTAGTATATGACGCGTGTGAAAACGTAATGTCTGGCAGTAGAAGATGAGGGAAGATCAAGAAAGGAAGAAGAGTGGGAACACAATGGAATTTGTATGAAACGCATGAATAGTGAAATGTCAGACAATGGATTGATGATAGATTGAAGATTTGCAAATTAACGATTTACGATATGGTTTTCCTATCTTACTGAGTAACTCTGTAATTTTCGTTAAATACAATTCGGTTGCCCTCACTTGTGTTCTCCTTCACTACATTACCACCTTTACTACTATGGGTTTAGAATAGACAATTCAATCTCTCTGTGTACTAATTGTGATATGGCAACTTGATCTGATGTACGTATGTACGAAGTTCTGTGTTGTAACTAACTGGACTTACCATTTTTATCTTGTAACTCTTTATAAAGATTGTCTTGATGTTGTACTCATCGCAAGTTGATCTTAGTTGTAATACCACTGAAAGTCAGGGAGCAGCTGTTCTGCTTAAATGTCGGATTTGAAACAAGTGACTTAAAATCGACAACAAAGTTGGCTTACAGTTTCACTTTACACTTTGAACTATTTTATAAAATGTAAATATGCAGTAATCTTTTTTTTAAAATAATTTACATTAAGGATGAACTTCGCTGAAAGCGTTCACATCTTCATAGTGTCTACAACTCCAATATCAAGTGTGAACAATGACTAAATACCATTCATATCAAATCGACTTGAATCAGAAAACTCGTTAACTGACACTTGAGGATACATCCAGTTATATACAAGTCACAATAATGATTACTAATTTTATTGAAATCGTGATCAATGTTAGATCCCCAATAGCCTGACCGCAGCTGCTACCTTGACGTGGTGGTCGGGCTTGCCTATCGTCATGACCCAACCGAGCAATATTGGCTGGAACACATGTTCCTGAAGGTTCTACCATGCCAGGCAGGTCGATTGGAGAACGATCAGAGTAAAAGCAGCAACCCGAGGTCTGAGGGCGAAGTCGTACTGCTGACTGCAGAGGGGTGTGACAGCAGTAAGGTGTTTCCCTCGGACAACCGGCATCTGCAGAGATGCTGCCTTCTCACAAGGAAGGAAGGGTTAGAAAAGGTCGACACTAAAAATGTCACACCTCACCCTACTTCACGGATTCCCGTCTCCGGCGGTAACGGTGCCTACTGAACGCCTTTAAAAGCGGAGCTAATACTCAAAAAACCTTTCATAAAAAGGCCGTGCGTGACCGGCCTCAAGCAGTTGTCCCCTGGGCTCTGCGGTCACGCACTTAGGTCTCTAAGACCAACACTAATATACCTACCTTTTCAGGTTCCTCAAGAAACAACCTTCCACGGTGTGGGCAGCCAGGAAGTGACAACCGCCCTCATACCCGTAACAGCACACGAGACCAAATTGGTCAAAATCAAATCCTTCCTACACCCCCTTCACTCCCTAATCTTCTCTTTCACTGCTAATACTTCTATTATTGCTATCACTCTTGGATTTGAGCTGACAGTTGCGTCTCTGTGCTGATGGGGCATGGCAACCTGAACTGATGTACTTACGTACGAAGTTCTGCGTTGTATCTCTCTGTCTGTCACCAGTAGAAATGTGAAGACACTGGACGGCTCTTTCGTCCAGATATGGGACTCATCAGCAATGAACATTAACGACCCCACGCAAAACCGATGATGCTGGGTTCGATTCCAGGATGAGACAGCGGTCCAATGTTCCCAGCTTTCCAGTGGTGGTCTAACATTGATCGATCCATGATTTCAATGAAACTCAACAATCTCCACCGCCCTGTAATGATTACACTAATTGTAGATAAATCACTTCCGAAAATATTTCGATAAGATTGTTATGAAGCACGACTCTAAAGTCACACTGTCAATTAACTTCAAACATTGTACTGTACTACAAGTTGTTGATTGAAAAGGAGAGGTCGTAAATTACAAGAATATCAATCATACACTAATCATATTGTTATTGAAATCGTGTATCGATCAAAGTTACACAACCACTGGAAGTATTACACAGCAGTTCAGTCCTAGTAGGAAGGGATGCCCTAACAGTGTGTGCACCTACAACTCTGAAAGTGGGAATCGAGCCCAAAACCTTTGGTTTCATGTACTTCAACTTCTTTTCACTAGACATCATCTTAACCAACATACATATCCTGCGAAACTTTTCACATTATGTGAATTTTGAAATTGTTACCAGTGAAGGCGAAACGATAAGACACACACACATACATACAACAACATAAAAAACATTAAAAGTCACAAATGATTTATTTTCGAATTCACCTTTTTTTTCTTACTTTACTTAAATAAGAAAAAAAAGAACAGTCTGTAAATGTCGAGTTTTATTTTATTAAATAAAAGTCTTTTATGTTGTTTATCTGTGAAAATCGACATTAAGACACTGTTTTTTATAAAAATTGATATAAAAATCGAATAGCTACCAAGATTTCTTTTGTAAAAAATAACTTCAAAGAAGTGAGTGACTTTAGTCATCATAGTTTATGGTGATCACATAGTTAATTTTATAAACAAGTGATTTAGTATGGCTGAGAGTGGCAAGAGTCGGCTCTCTCTCTGTCTCTGTCTATTGGGATGCTTTCATACGGCGATGAGTTTCAATCATTGATCTCTCGTTGTAAGGTTGTTGTTTACGAAATTAAGTGGTTGAAAAGGAATAGTTCGATCAGTGCTTAAATCTGGTTAGTAGGTACGGAGGATCTGTAGTGAACGAGAACACAGGTGGGGCAACCGAATTTTATTTAATGAAAATTACAGAGTAACTCAGTAAAATCGGAAAACCATATCGTTAACGGTTAATTTGCAAAACATCAATCCATCATCAATCGATTGTCTGACATTTCACTATTCATGCGTTTCATACAAATTCCATTGTGTTTTAACTCTTCCTTTCTCTTGATCTTCCCCCGTCTTCTGCTGCTGCCAGACATTACTTTGACACTCACGTCATATACTACTTATAAGTAGCTCATACCACAGATCCATCTATATGAGTTAAAAAACTCTAATCCCAAATCAATAGTGCATTTGGGTTCTAATATCCTGAAGGAATAAATAGTGTATGAACCTATAACTGGTCACCAGCTACCACAGGACAGAATCTTCTAACGCTGACCAATCACCTTGTCGATTGCTATTTCTACATTGAACTAGGATGTTATACCGTAGATTAACCGGTTTTTGATACTCATTAGCCATATTGTTGAGTATCAAGTTAGGGTCTTCATCGAGACGACTCAGCAGACATGTCAGTGAATTTTTGTGGCTTTAGGATGTAAATGTGAATCAGGTTTAAAATGGTTTTTTGCCAGTGACTTTATTGGGAATCATTCATATTCGCGATTAACAATGCCGATATGAGTCAGAAAATGAGACGATACCTTATAGACGACCTTCGGACGAGCGCTGGATGATCATGAAATTTAAGCCAATCAGGAGAGTCATATGTAGTAGGGACTAAGAAATTACCGTCGATAAATTTCTTTAGCATGGTTTAAAAGCTTGTATGGGATGGAAATAGATTCTGTGATTCTGAATTATTAAGAGATGTAGGAAGGATTTGATAGCAACAAATTCGATTTCGTGTGCTGTTACGAGTATTAGGGCGGTTGTCACTTCTCGGTTGCCGACACTGTGAAAGGATACTTCTTGAGAAACCTGAAAACGAAACCGCACTAGCGTTGGTCTGATCGACCTGGGAGCGTGACTGCAGAGCCCAGCGGACACCTGCTTCAGGCCGGTCTTTTTATGAAAGGTTTTTAGAGTATTGGCTCCGCTCTTAAAAGCCCTTAGTTGGCAGCCCTTACCTCACGGAAATCAGTGAGGTAAGGTGGGGTGTGATATTTTTAGGGTCGGCTTTTTCTAACTCCCTCCTTCCTTATGAGAAGGCAGCATCGCTGCAGATACTGGTTGTGCGAGGGAAACACATTATTACTGCTGTCACACGATTCGCCCTCTGACCTTGAGTTACTGCTTTTAGTCTCATAGTTCTCCAAACAACCTACCTGGCATGGTAGTGTAGTGAAGGAGAACACAGGTGGGGCAACCGAATTGTATTTAACAAAAATTACAGAGTTACTCAGTAAAATCGGAAAACTATATCGTAAATCGTTAATCTGCAAAATATCAGTTCATCATATCGAACTGGACTGTTCCTGTTGCAAAACATCAATCCATTGTCACTATTCATGCGTTTCATACAAATTCCATTGTGTTCTAACTCTTCCTTTCTTGATCTTCCCCCATCTTCTGCTGCCAGACATTACGTTGACACTCACGTCATATACTACTTATAAGTAGCTCACACCACACTACAACCGATACAATCAACGTAACCAAGTTTAGATAAGCATCTACAACACTCCCTCCAGTCGTTCGTGTTTATTGTGGTATCAGGCTGCACATATGTAGAGTCAATCCGGTTTGGGCGACAATAGTAGAAAAAAAGCCAAATACACGTTAAGTTAAATGAATTTATTATTTCAAGCCACTGTTTACTCAAACAGATAGTGACTCAGTCATAAAGGAGATAGATATATCATAAGTAAATGTACTGACATGAGTATTAGGAATGAATGATCAAGGTTACACGTGAGTAATAATTGACAAGGTCAGATAACAGGGATGATAGGGTAGATGATATACAGAGTGAGAGAGATGAAATCAATATAACTAGCAACAAGTAGGCGTATGATGACAAAGCTTTACTGTATAACATTAATGAGGGTTGAAAATTAAACTACATATGTTATTATCATACCATAGCAAAAACAGTTGGTGGATAGAAATGAATTAAATAAATATTCAGTGAAAATTATACTCTAACATGCGAATGAAAAATAAATGACAGACTAAATGTATTTGACCATTCTACAAAAAAATGGAACGTTAACTACACTACTCACTTTAAGAAGGAATGAATTGATGGTGTGTGTGCGTGTGTGTGGTAGTGAAAGTAACATTTGATTGGTCAATGAAATGTGAACAAACAGGCACTTCGCGTAGTGACGATTAGGCGTTCGCCTACAATACCGAAGGTCCTGGGTTCGAATCCTGCGGGGTGTAGGAGTCGTGGATGCGCACTGCTGAGGAGTCCCATACCAGGACGAAACGGCCGTCCAGTGTTTCCAGGTTTCTGATGGTGGTCTAACATTGATCGATTCATGGTTTTAAAAATGTGTAACTTAACAGTCTTCACAACCCCGTAATACGATTAAATATGTTGATTTATTTTCCTGTCGACTGACAATTCATTTCAGAGATTGGTAATTGCTCGCTACATCACACAAATCAGTAGGTTGGAAGAAAGCTAGGGGCGTCCAGACCAAAACATGGCACAAATTCATGAAGTCAGTGACAACAATATTGAGTCCTGTTGGTAAGTGAAGACTACCACTTGGTTGGGTTCCGTGAGATGATAGTAACCGATGGCCAGAGACATTGAATGACATGGCTGAAAATCGTTTGCAATGGTGCATATACATCCATTCTTTGTGCTCTCTCAAATTCTAACCTAAATTCCTCATGACCTTCACCTTTCTCGTCTCAAATCTATTTCACTGTATCATACTGGATTATACATCTTCTATGTTCGTAGGTTGCTAGTTGAACTGACGTATGTACGTACGAAGTTCTACGTTGTAACTGACTGACTGTTTACTGACTTTTACTCCGGCATTACTGAGCATGACTACTTGTAATTGTGTTGTGGAATAAGATACAATCTATCGTTTACTATGGTTCTCGATTTCAATTGTGACTCGTGTCTCTGGTTTAACGTGTCATCTAACCACTGTGTACTGCTGCACCATTAGGGTATCTGATCCTGTGGTAGTGTAAACTCGATCACAAATTTAACATGTACCAGTAAAAAAGAAAGTATAACTCCAAAAGACGTGATCAATGGAGGTTCAGCCTTGTCGGGTGTAGGCAGTAACTACCGAAGACTAGGGAGTGAGGCTGAGTAGAAATCCTTAGATTGATCAGAGTAAGACATTAACACCATTAGATACCGGCTAACTGATCCAGAGGTTAAGGGTTCGCGAACAAGACCGAAGGTCCCGGGGTTCGAGTAGGGGATGCGCACTGGCACTGATGAGTCGTCCCACACCAGGACTAATCGTCTGTCTTTCAGTGCTTCTAGGTTTCTTCTAATGGTGGTCTAACAATGATTCAATCACGAGTTCATCAGGCGTCCTACAATAGTTGTGTTCCTGGACCTAAAAGCGGCATTTGACTCTGTGGATCGTGAGGTTCTGTGGCAGTGTCTGTCATTGAAAGGTGTACCAAAGAAGTACATTAACCTCATACAAGCACTCTACTCGAACACCACTGGTCGAGTGAGAGCTTATGGCGAACTGTCACGGGAATTCTTTACTTCAAGTGGTGTCCGTCAGGGATGTCCACTTTCTCCATTCTTGTTTAATTTTATCATAGACATGCTCCTAGAAATAACCTTATCCTCGTCTGAATTTTCTGGAGTAGACCTTCTACCAGGTGGCTCGCTTATTGACTTAGAATATGCCGATGACATTGTCCTACTTGGTGAAGACGCTGACAAAATGCAGAGTCTTCTAACCACCCTAAGCAACAATGCAAGCATGTTCGGGATGCGGTTTTCCCGCTCCAAATGCAAAATGTTGCTTCAAGACTGGGTCGCATCAGCACCTGAACTAATGATAGGGAGTGAAGTAGTCGAGCGTGTAGACCGCTTCACTTATCTTGGGAGTCTCATCAGTGCCGATGGTCTGGTGACTGAGGAAATCTCAGCTCGGATACAGAAGGCTCGATTGTCTTTTCCCAACCTGCGTAACTTATGGCGTAGGCGTGACATCCGTTTGCTGACTAAAGGACGAGTGTACTGTGCAATGGTTCACTTAATGGCTATGAAACATGGCCAGTGAGAGTAGAAGATATTCGTCTGTTACTGGTTTTCGATCATAGATGTCTTCGAAACACTGGGCTAATCAGCACTTCATCTATTGATCTGTTAGGTAAGAATGGCAGATCAATAGATGAAGTGCTGAAACTTCATCAGTTGAAGTGGTTGGAACATGTGTTGCGTATGCCCAACCACCGATTGCCTCAAAGAGCTTTGTTTTGTAGTGTAGGAATAGGTTGGAAGAAAGTTAGGGGCGGCCAAACCAAAACATGGCAGAAATCTATGAAGTCATTGACGAGTGGACTGAGCCATGTCGGTAATTGTCGACTATCTGGTTGGGGTCCGCGAGATGATAATAATCGATGGTTAGAGACCTTGAATGACATGGCTCAAAATCGTTCGCAATGGCGCCGATGCATTTATTGTTTGTGTTCTCTCAAATGCTAATCTTCTGGATTCTTCAACCCATCTAGTTTTGACTTTCTACACTTATCTCACTAAATCATACTTCCTGAATAATATCTTCTAATCCTAACCTCTCCGATTACTTCTAATACCTTTACTACCTCTACTACTACTATTGGATTTGAATTGACAATTATATCTCTGTGCTGATGTGGTATGGCGACATGAACTGACGTACTTACGTACGAAGTTCTACGTTGCATCTAACTAACTAACATGAGTTCAAGATAGAAAAAACAAAACGCTACCATTCTCCATAATACTCTAATGCAAAAAAAAACATTAGAGAAATATATTTTATAAATTTACATCCGAAAAGAAAAAAAAACAAACTTACCAATATTGAGAATGTGGAATTTGTGATTGAATATTCATGATTATAGAAGGATTGTTATATTGAAATGTTTCGTGCGTCGTAGTAGTAGTAGAAGTAATCGTAGTAGCATTATTATTGATTACAGATTGCATTGGGCTATTTTTCGTTTGATGTACAATATACTATGTATGAAAGAATTAAGAAAGAAACACAAATGAATGGTAATTATGTAGACAAGTTTTGATGAATCGATTATATGAACCTAGGATCGACAAACACACACACACATAGGGGATAAATGAAAATTATGCAAATTAATTTTTTTGATGAACTGATGAGTGATAATGATAATTTTGAATGAAATCAATACTCGAGTTGATAAATGAAATGGATTAAAGTCAGTCAGTCAATTAGAACGTAGAACTTTGTACGTGAGTACAGGTTGCCATACCCCAATCAGCATAGAGACGCAATTGTCAATTCAACTCCCATAGTGGTAGAGATAGTAGAGATATTACTGGTAATGGAGAAGATTAGGATTTGAAGATATTATTCAAGAAGCACATAGTTCAGTGAGATAGGTTTAGAAAGACAAAAGTAGAGGTGTAGACGAATCCAGAAGATTGGGATTTGAGAGAACACAAAGAGTAAATGCACATACGCGATTGCAAACGATTTTGAGCCATGTCATTTAAGGCCTCTAACCATCGGTTACTATCATCGAGCGGACCCCAACCAGGTAGTCTACCCTTACCAACATGACTCAGTCCAGCTGTTGGTGACTTTATGGATTTGTGTCATGTTTTGGTTTGGCCACCTCTAGTATTCTTCCACTCTACTCCTACACCACAAGAGATAGCTCGTCGAGACAGTCGATGGCTGAGCATACGTAACACATCTCTCAACCACTGCTTCATCAATTGATATCTGCCATCCTTAACTAGTACTCGTTTCCTAACTATAGGATTGCTTACTCGGCTGTCAAAGTGGGAATAAATTATATAATTTATTTCTGAGAATTTATGCATCATACATGAAATGTAGCAGTTCTAGTAGAGTATGAAAATAATCGTCACTTGAATGCATTCACACACACACACACATACAAACATTCACAAGGCCAACAAATCGCAGACACCTGGGACTAAACACAAGATAGAATAAACTAAGCAAATAATACATTTTTTTAATGAATTTTAGTTTTCTTCAAAGTGTGTTACTTAATGTATTGTGTACACTGTGTACTCTGCCAACTTCTAGGCTCCGATTATCAGTTTGTCTTGAATGCATACCGACTTTATTTCTGGTTGTTGTCAAGTGATTTCTCTGCTGAATGTAAGTGCATCAGTCTATGAGCTCACATATTTCTCGTGTCCTTGCTTTTTTTCAGATAATCATCTCACATACCCCCAGCATACAAGGCAAACTAACTAGAGGCTGAAATTACAGTACTGTTATATTATGTCAAGCGTATACAGTTTGTGCTAGCTTTTTGACAAACAGGTTAATCTGGCTTTCTCGAGTCATGATTTACTACTTGTGTGGTGCTGTGGTGCGAACTACTTATAAGTAGTATATAGCGTGAGTGTCAACGTAAAGTCTGGTAGCATAATATGGGGGGAAGATCAAGAAAGGAAGAGTCAGAAAACAATGGAATTTGTATGAAACGCATGAAGAGTGACAATGGATTGATGTTTGGCAACAGGAACAGTCCAGTTCCATAGGATGAACTGATCTTTTGTAAATGAACGATTTACGATATGGTTTTCCGATTTTACTGAGTAACTCTGTAATTTTTGTTAAATACAATTCGGTTGCCTCCACCTGTGTTCTCATTCACTACATTTGGTGTCGCTGCCTGCTCGAAGGAAAGGGCTCCCGTGGCCGAAGGAGTTGCAGGACGGAAATTGGCGGAGCTTCCTGGAGGAGTTTGGGGCCACGGTGGAGCTGGTGGGGGCCTGGGGCGGAGTTGACGGTGCTGGGGACGCTGCGGGGAGGTGAGGCGAAGGCGGTACACGACAGCCTGGACGGCGCCACCGAGGAGACGGCGTGGGAGACGGTCACCGGGCGGCTGATAATGGAGTTCGACAGCCCAGCGGTCAGGGAGGAGGCGCCGCAGAGGTTCCGGTTGGCGCGGCTGTCGGCCGATGGTGACCTGTTGGTGCTTGCTGTGGAGCTCACCGGATTGCGCCGTGAGGAGTGGGCGGGGCACAGTCTTTGGCGTCGCAGTTTGTCGAGTGTGTGCCTGCCGCCGTGTTCCAGCATCGGGAACTTGTAGACGCTACACGTTGGATAGATGCCGTATCCATTCCAGACCAGTGATCAAGAACGATGACCGGCATATTGTAGCGTGTCACGGAATACGGAAGGTGATATTAACTTACCAGGGGCTCTGTTTTGAAGGACTACGACGAGAGCTTATTAAAAGGGGGGACGAGTGTGGTGCTGTGGTGCGAACTACTTATAAGTAGTATATAGCGTGAGTGTCAACGTAAAGTCTGGTAGCATAATATGGGGGGAAGATCAAGAAAGGAAGAGTCAGAAAACAATGGAATTTGTATGAAACGCATGAAGAGTGACAATGGATTGATGTTTGGCAACAGGAACAGTCCAGTTCCATAGGATGAACTGATCTTTTGCAAATGAACGATTTACGATATGGTTTTCCGATTTTACTGAGTAACTCTGTAATTTTTGTTAAATACAATTCGGTTGCCTCCACCTGTGTTCTCATTCACTACACTTGCATTTGAGCCGATTTTTTAATTATTCACTCATAAGCTTGATTGTGTTTTATTTCAGTGTATATGTGAGTATCACTTACTCTATTCGTCATATATCATTGGCTTATTTTTGTCTGACTAAAGAGTTGTGGAGTTTGTTAAGTTTCATAGAAATAATGAACAAATCAATGTTAAACCACCATTAGAAACCTAGAAGCACTAGACAGCTGTTCAAGTGAGATACCGCCAAAGACAGAAATCCGTGGAGTACGATGAGGTGTGACATCTTTAAAGTCGAACTTCTCTAACCCTTTCCTTCCTTCTGAGAAGAAAGCAGCATCACCGAAGTATGACTTCGTTTTTAAACCTTAAGTTACTGGTTTTGATTTGATCGTTCTTTAATCTACCTCTGCCTGGCATTGTAAGACCTAAAGTAACACAGGTTCCAGCCAATTTAACTCGGGTTGGGTTATCACGATAAGCAAACTCGACCACCAACCATGGAGTAAGATGCCGGGCTTATGTTTTAAAAAAAAACATACTATAAGAGATAAAGGAACCAACAGAGTAGAAATAAAAATTACTTACTGCAAACAAGATGAGATTTAGTTATGACCAAGACATAATCAGAGGAGGGATACATTGATTTATTTAGAATAAAATAGGATAAATGCCAAAAACTTGTTCTAACTGATTGATTAGTCACAAAATAGGAGACAAAGACACGAAATAACTGCACTACATATGCATATATACATACCCATTCATTCCCTTTCCACTTCCCCACCACTCACAACAGTGAAAGGATTATTCTCTCTATAAGAGAGATAAATAATCACACACGAACAGAAGAATCAAACATGCCAACATGGTAGGCGCATTACTAACTGGGATTACAGACATTGATTATTTGTCATTCTCGAATGCATTTTACGTTGTTATTGTTGTCGTTGTGGTGGTTGGTGGTGGTGGAGGTTGGTGGTTGCAACCTCACTCTCTCCCCTCCTTCCTTTCAATGGATTGAAATACTAATAAGTCTAGGGACATGGCAGTAAACGACAGACAACAAAGATAATTCCCAGTTTTGTTATAAAAACTCGAATTGAAATTTAGACAGATATGTATGTATGTTTATGTTCACTGGAAGTAATAGGGTTAGTGGGTTATGAGAAGAAAAAAAATCTATAGAATGAGAAATTAAGGCGATTTATTTAAATTATGTGATAAACTAATTGTGTTCGATCAGACAGACAGTCAGTCAGAGAATCCCTGGGGAGTTAATTGGGTAGTTTTTTTATTTCGGTTTATAATACTTGCAAACAGTTCATTACACATTTAAGAATTTATTTATCAGAAATATTGAAATTTAGAAGATTTATTCTTAGTGGAGAGATTGTTTACTTTTTATATGTGACATTTGGTATGGTATCCAACAATGGACAATTATTCTTTAACTCTAGTCAATTTGTACTATTGTGCTGTCGTCATCCATTGACATAGATGACAAGTATTTTACTTCTAACATAGATGATGTCCACCAATCAAGGTTGTTCTCTAGCCTTTAATCGCTACTGTCTAGCTTAAGTCAATGATAGAAAATACTTATTTTCAGAAAAATCACTCGATACAAAAATGAAATGTTATCTTCTAGAGTGAGAAAACTGAAAAAAAATACAAGGCGATAGTTTGTAATGGAGCAGGTGTATTCACTCTTTGTGTTCTCTCAAATTCTAATCTGAAATCCTCATGAACTCCATTTTTCTCTTTTTAAGGTTTATTTCACTGGATTGGATTACACTCCTTGAATAACATAATCAAACCTTAATCTTTTTCATTACCGCTAATACTCCCGCCATCTCTAATACTATGGGATTTGAATTAACAATTGCGTCTCTATGCTGCTGGATTCTTCAACACCTCTGGTTTTGACTTTCTAAACTTATCTCGCTGAATCATACTTCTTGAATAATATCTTCTAATCCTAACCTCTCGGATTACTTCTAATACTTTTACTACCTCTTCTACTATTGGATTTGAATTGACAATTACATCTCTATGCTGATGTGGTATGGCGACATGAACTGATGTACCTATGTACGAAGTTCTACGTTGCATCTGACTGACTGACTGATAGTAAGTTGAAGTGATGTACGTATGTACGATGTACTACGTTGTAGCTGACTGATTGACTGACTTACATTACATGTTTAGTATCAGTCAGTCAGTCAGTTGCAACGTAGAACTTCGTACGTATGTACATAAGTTCATGTTGCCATACCACATTATTAGCACAGAGACGCAAGTGTCAAATCAAATCCCATGGTGATAAAGATGGTAGAGGTATTAATGTTATAATAAAGAAGACTAGGGTTTAAGATATTATTAAAAAAATATAATTCAGTGAGATAAGGTTAGAAAGACAAAGGTAGAGGTGCTGGCTAATACAGAAGATTAGGATT